ATTCACAAGGTTTTGCAATAATCACCACTAGTTCTGTCACCCCCAAAAGAAACACTTTATCTGTTACCAGTCACTCCCCATTCCCCCTCCCACATGCCCTGACAGTCACTAATACAATTTCTGTCCTCATTCTGAATATTTCATCTCTGTGGCATAATATAATATGTATCCAGTTATGTCTGGCTTCTTATACTAAGCATGATGTTTTCAAGGTTCATCCATGTTATAGCATATATCAATACTTTATTCCTTCTCATGGCCAAATAATATTTCATTGTATGGATCTAACACATTTTGTTTATCCATTCATGGACATTTGTGTTGTTGCTATTTTTTGTCTATTAGGAATAATGCTGCTATGAACATTTGTATAAACATGTTTTCAGTACTCTTGGGTATATACCTAAGAGTAGAATTGCTGGGTTATATAATAACTCTATGTTTAACTTTTTGAGGAACTGCCACAGTGTTTCCCAAAGGTCTGTTAGATTTTACGTTCCTACCAACAATGTTTGAGGGTTCCAATTTCTCTACATCCTTGTCAATACTTGTTATTGTGCATCTTTCTGATTATATATAGTCATCCTAGTAGATGTGAAGTTCTATTTTATTGTGATTTTGATTTGCATTTCCCTAATGACTAATTATGTTGAGCATCTTTTCAAATGCTTATTGTCCATGTATTTATCTTGTTTGGATAAATGTCTATTCAGATCATTGCTCCCTTTGTATTGAGTGATCTGTCTTTTTATTGTTGAATTATAAGAGTTCTTTATATATTCTGGATACCAAACCCTCAGTTATATGATTTGCAAATATTTCTCCCATTATGTGGTTGATCCTTTCATTTTCTTGATAGGCACAAATTTGAGGCACAATTTTTTTTTTTTAAGTTGGCTCCTGGAACCCAATGTGGGGCTTGAACTCATGACCCTGGGATCAAGACTTGAGCTGAGATCAAGAGTTGGATGTTTAACTGACTGAGCCACCCAGGCATCCTGAGGCACAAATATTTTTAATTTTGATAAAGTCTAATTATTTTTTGTATATTGACCTTGTATCCTGCAGCTTTGCTAAACTTGTTTATTAGCACCAATAGTTTTTTTGTGTGTGTAACCTTTATATCTTCTTTTTTATATAAGATTGTGTTATCTTCAAATAGAGATAGTTCTACTTCTTCATTTCTTATCTGCATTTCTTTTTCTTGTCCTTGCCTAATTGCTTTGGTTAGAATCTCCAGTACAGTGTTGAAAAGAAGTGGCAGGGGTGAACATCCTTGTTTTGTTCCTGATGTTAGGGGAAGGCTTTCAGTCTTTCAGCATTTAGTTTTAGCTGTATATTTTCCCTTTATTAGGTTGATGAATTTCCCTTTCATTCTTAGTTTCTTGATTGTTTTTATCATACAATAGTGCAGATTTTGCTGCCAGATTGGTTTTTGTTGTTGTTGTTTGCAGCTGAGATCATAATGGGTTTTTCTACTTTATTAATATATTACATTGGTTTTAATATACTGAACTAATCTTTCATTCCTGAGATAAATCCCACTTGACCATGGAGTATAATTCTTTTTATATGCTGCTGGATTCAGTTTGCTAGAACTTTGTTGAGGATTTTTGTGTGTACATGCATAAGGGACTTTGGCCTGTAGTTTTCTTTTTCTTGTGATATCTTTGTTTTGGTATGAAAATACTGGCCTCATAGAATGAGTTAGGAAGCATTCCTTTCTCTCTCTCCCTCTCTCTTTTTGGGCAGAGTTTGTGAAGAATTGGTGTTAGTTCTTTAAGTGTTCTGTAGGACCTACTAGTGAAGCCTTCTTCTCCTGGGTCCTGGTCTTTTTATTTTGGGAAAATTTTCTGATTATTAGCTCAGCGTCTTATTATAGCTCTATTCATGTTTTCTAATTCTTTTTGAGTCAGTTTTGGTAGTTTGTATCTTTCTAGGAATTTGCTAGATTAATTTGTTGGCTTATGATTGCTTATTAAAGACCTTTTTATTTTCTTAAATTTCTGTAAGGTGAGTGTTTATGTCCTCTTTCTCATTCCTGATTTTAATAATTTGAGTCTTCTTTCTTTTTTATCTTGATCAGTTTAGCTACAGGCTTGTCAATTTTTCTGGTCTTTTAAAAAACCAAATTTTGGGTCTGTTGATTTTCTCTATTTTTTTATTCTCTGATTTTTTTCCCACTCAAATCTTTATTTCTTCCTTTCTCCTTGTTTTGAGTTTAGTTTTCTCTTTTTCCAGTTTCTAGTGGAATTGTAAGTTATTGAGTTAAGATCTTTTTAATTTTTAATATAGGTATTGACAGCTGTAAATTTCCCTCTGGTCACTGCTTTTTTTGTGTTCTGTGAGTTTTGGTAAATGATGTTTTCATTTTCATTCATCTCAAATTATTTTTGGATTTCCCTTGTGATTTCCTTTTTGACTGGCCATTTAGGACTGTGTTGCTTAATTTCTATGTATTCATAAATTGCCAGAGTGTCCTTCTGCTACTGATTTATGATTTTTTTTTTATGATCTCAATCCTTTTATATTTTTTTAGACTTAGGACCATCAACCATTCTTTTTTTTTTTTTTTAAAGATTTTATTTATTTATTTGACAGAGAGAGCGCGAGAGAGGGAACACAAACAGGGGGAGTGGGAGAGGGAGAAGCAGGCTTCCCGCGGAGCAGGGAGCCCGATGCGGGGCTCGATCCCAGGACCCTGGGATCATGACCTGAGCCGAAGGCAGACGCTTAACAACTGAGCCACCCAGGCGCCCCGGACCATCAACTATTCTTGATCTTCTCTCAGAAGCCTCTTCCATGTGTACTCGTTTCTCTTTTTCCCACTGCAACTACCCTTGGCAGGCTCTTTTAGCCTCCCATGTAGCCTACAAACCACTGCCAGGTGAATCTTAACCCCTAATTCAGTGCTTCCCTTTTGTTGACAAAATAAGTCACCATTTCTTAACCTGCCTTTTAAGGTCTTCTGCAACTTGGACCTAATCTATCTCTTCTATTCTCAGGTCTGAAAAGACTTTCACCTTGGGCCCTGTCTGGAGAAATAGTCATGTTAAATTAAACAGGACGTAACTTCTAAAACTAGTCTGTAACTGTTAAGTATTCAGTAGGTAAAGTCTCTTTTTTTTAACCAATTATTGACTTTTAAAATAATTAGTTACTCCTTATTTGTTTTTATTTGTGGGATGGGAATTCTAGGAAAATTTGAAAGTTGTTTAGTTTTCCTCTTAAACTCTGTGACTCTTAGCATTGCCATCTTTGCACACATAATTATATCAAATTGAATCAGAGGTTGAGGATATTAAACAGAAAAAAACCTCTTGAATACTATCAGCAAAATATTATGATTCACACTATTTACAGTGCTTGATGCAGCTCATCACTGGAGAAGCCTCTCTTCTGTCCTTCAGTACCCAGCTCAAATTACCCTTCTTCTATGAAATCTCTATTGTTACCTCTTAAAAAATGATCTTTTCCTTCTGAATACCTCCGACTCTTTATTCTCATAATTCCTTCCTTTTAGAATATGTATTTATGTGTTTGTCTTTTCCTCCCCCCATCAGCCTTAATAAGCACTTTGAAAACTGAGTAATATTTTGTACTAAGTGTTTTGTGTATAATAGGGAGCGCTGTAAATATCTTTGGGACAAAGAACGACTGGAAGTTTCTCAGTCCCCTTTCTTAATCTAGCATTGCCGTTCTCTACCTAGTATGTGTTACTTGTCCTCTTTATCTATTACTTCAACAATGACACCTTACTGCAGAAAGATCTGCCATGGCTTCATTTTAGAGAGTGAGGCCGTCCCAACTTACTGTGTTTAGCTCCCAAGTTCTGCAGAAGTCCTCACAGACTTTCTCCCACTTATTTCTTCCTATTTTCTAGGAAGAAATCTCTTTATTATCTCTATTGTAGACGATGAAATGATTAGATAAATTAGCCCCACTTCCCCACCTATTTTTTCTTATTATCCTACTTCTACTTCAGATCCTTTCCTCCCGGTCCTTCTCATTTCATTTCCATCCTTCAATGAAATTGTCATTTTCATTATAAAACCCTTCTCTATTACTTAAATGGAAAATTATATCACAATCCTTTGACTTTAAGACTGTTTTTCTGCTGTGACACATTGCCTTTGTTATTATAAGAGATAAGGGGTGATGTCATATCTTTTTATATCTCCCATGACACTGTTCCTAGCACATAGACACTAAACACATATTTGTTAAATGAATACATATATTTAAAATTTAGATCTTTCTTGAAGCATTCAGGCAACTCCTGAAAGTATATGGACTCTGTTTTTTAAAAAATATATTATCTCTTATGAAAGAGGTATGAGTATTCCTTAATTTTGTGGTGTTAGTGGTTTTATAAACTGAAAACTTGACTTATTATGTATCTATATGTGAATTTACTGTTTTCCTTTTATTACAAGGATACATACACATTTGAAACTTTGTTTTAAATCAGCCATTCTTTCAGGATTTCACATTAAGGGAAATAAGAAAATAATACACTTGATTTTATTGATTTGTCTTGCTTTCAAGTCATTGTGAAACAGAATAGCTTAAAGTACCAAGTGGGTTAAACCAAGGAAGTTCTCTCTTGGTTTAATCAGCTATTTACATTTTAGCTTTAAACTAACAAATCCATTCCCTAAAGAACATTTTGAAGACTGGTGAGTAGTATTTTGTAATATCCAATAAATTTTTATTCAAAAAGTACAGAAAGCATAGTTTCAGGAGTTAGATTTATGTTTGTTTTCTTTTCCTCACAGCATCACATTGTTGAGTCATCTTCTATTGGCCGTGATTAAAATTTCTTTTCCTAGAAAAAGTGAAATATGCTAGTGCTTACAGTTCAGAGGGTGGATAATGTCAGTTAGCCATAGAGCTCTCAATGAAGACCTTTGGATGTCCAGAAGTTACTGTTAATGCTTAATGTAAAAGGCGTGATTCACTGGAAGTATTAACTTTTAAAAGTCTTTTGTGCTTTCAAGGTGGTTTCCAGAAGTTCAGAATATTTATTACCAAGGTAATAAAAAAAAGCAATTGCCAACTGGTGACAGCAGTGTCAAATTGGAATCTTTTTTCAACTGCGCTGCTACGCTTATGACTTTACAGCTGCAAGAACTCACTTTGGTCTCCATGCAGGATTTCACAGACTTAATAGCACAACCATCAGTAAGTATGGTGCCGTTACACCAATATTCATCTACTAATTTATTTTCAAGAGGAAAAAGATAAAAAAAAAAAAAGAACCTTTAGCAGTGGAAGAGAAGGAAGTATATCTTTAGATCACTTACCTATTTAAAAACACTTAGTATCAACCTGAATATTCAAGATATGTGAGTATCATCACGTTGGTGAGGATTAGTGAAGAGAAGTCAAAACTCTTCTCATTGGGCAATTTGGGTCATGATGGCTGGGGAAGGTTTCTGCAAGGAACTCGTGTCTTTCCAGAAGAAGGTCCTGTTAGAGTGTGGGCTGGGACTGGGAATTTGAATACTTTCTTGGGCTCTTGCTTGCATGACTCCAGAGCCCCACTGCTGTGCACATCCTCCTTTTTCTGGAACCTTGACCCTCTGGTTGATCTGTAGGCTCGGTGGATACTAGATACCAACACATCTAACTGGGAATTGTTCTTGCTCTTTTTAGTAGAGCTCCTCATTGGCTTAACTGTCTAGGGCATAAGAGGAAAGGTGAGTTCCCATGAGTTCTAATTGGGACCACTGCACTGCTTAGTCTCTCCCAATTCATATATATATTCACATACATGTGTACATTTTTTTGCAGGATTCTGTTAGAGCTTTCGAACATCCAGGTTTCATCATGAGGCTGATTCTTGAAAATGACACCATTAAGTTTGAACCTGAGTTCAGTGACTATATAGACATCCTTCTAAATGTTTATGATACCATGATTAAGGCTGTCAGTTTTGTGCCAAGAGTTGAGACAAAATTGTATTCCAAGTGGGTAAGTATCAAGGGTATTTTGATTGCTTGCATTTTCATGATGATATTCATTTCAAACAAATTCTAAAAGGCGTAGACCTGCATCCTATGCTTTGCAGAATATAAATGGCCTGGTAACATTGGCTTATAAGAAACTTTTAATTAAAAAAATACTGTTTTCCCATTACAGTATACCTAGTTTCTTAGGCTAGTCTTCCATTGGACTGAAATTTTTCTTAAGGGAAGGAATTAAAGTTGTGGTCAGGTTTAAGGCAGTCAATGAGTGTTTGCTATAGCATTCACACCATGCTGTAGACCTCCCTTATACTTCTCTAGCTCTCTCAAACTGTCCTTCCGTTGATTACTCTTCTCATATACCTTCTTCCATAAGCAGTAGTGTCTTTGTACTCTCATATCACAGACTCTACTTCCCTTCTCTCTCTGGCCATTAATTTAGCAAAGCTCTGCTTTGCTATTTCAACAGCAGTTACTGCAGGCTAGTATACAGATTGAGCATGTCTGATTATTCCTTAACTTAAAAGGTTTTCAAGCTTTGTAAGTCAAACCAGTAGCTTTCTTAATTCCTTTTTATTTTATTTTTTAAAAATATTATTTTAGAGAGAGCATGTGTGCGCGTGAGCTGGGGATGGGCAGAGGGGGAGGGAGAGGAAGAGAGAATCTGAAGCAGAGTCTATCTTGAGCACAGAGCCCAAAATTGGGCTTGATCTCACGACCACAAGATCATAACCTGAGCTGAAACCAAGAGTTGGCTGCTTAACCGACTGTGCCACCCAGACATCCCATCCTTTTTATTTTTAAAATAGTTCACAAATATTTCATGTACAAGAAAGCATCCAGACTACTGTGTAGTTTTAAGTGGTAATAAAGTTACCCCTGTGTACTTAGAATCTAACTAGAGAAATGGAATATTACTGATACCCTTAAGCTCTTCTTGCTCCCTACTGCCCTTCCCTGTTCACATTCCTCTCCTTCTACCTTCTAGCAAAAGAATCACGATCTTGAATTTTGTAGTTATTAATCTGAAATTTTTTAGATTTACTACCTGTCTGCATATCCCTAAACAATTTCCATTTAGTTTTTCCATGTCTTTGTATATATGTGGAGTCATCTTATAATCAGTGACCTGTTTTATTTTATTCAACACTGTGATTGTGAAATTATCCATTGTGAGGATATTATCTTCATCATAGAGCTTCTAATTTTTTTTATTTTTATTTTCTAGGAATTCCATTAAGTTCTTTGTTGAATAGGACTTGTCATTTTTGATTGTCTCTTGTACCTAGTTATATATTCATTACTCTTTTACTTCTCCATTTGCTGATCTGACTCTTGCTCATGGTGGTTTATTTCTGTGGGTGTTTTTCCTTTATTATTATGGGCTTATACATGTAAGAACTTCATGCAGGGAAGTCCTTAAGGCCTTAATTTAAGTTGGTTCCTCCAGAACTTGCATATTCTCCTGACAGTTACTCTGGAGGCCTCTCCAGACCAAGGACCATTTTTTAATAAACTTCTTGCGGAGGATTTTGTGGACAACACTGGCAGTGTGAATGCTTACCCAAATCTGCATGAGAACAAGCTGGTGGCCACAAATTCTTAAGGTGACTGCCTTTTTTCTCCTCCACTGAAAAACAGGGTCAAAACAGGATATTTCCCTTACTTTTGCTCCCTCATTCAGAGGTACTGTCACCTTTCAGCATTCTGAAATTTTGTGTCACCTTTGTCTTCTTGGCTTTCTGTGGGTGTAGCCATTATGACTTCCCTCCCTGCTCAGGCTTGAAGCTTTGTTTCCTAACAGCCGTTCTGCCATCCCACACCCCTCCCCTGCACAGAGGCCCACCTTGCTAGAGACTCATTAAAGCAAAGCTTAGGCCACCAGGGATCAGCAGTCTCTAGGGCAGCTGCTCACTTCTGCACATAATTACCTCTCAACTCATGTGTCCCCTCATGTTTGGCCCCTAGACTTTCCCTATTATTTTGCTTCCTTAGCTATGTATTATAAAAGTTATATTAGGCATTTTTTCCCAGCATACTTATGTGTTTTGAACTAAATAGTTATTTTCAGGTTATGTATTCCTCATATTGCCATAAATAGAAGTCTCTGGAGAAATGTGGTTTACTTTGGCCTTTGTTTAATTTCAGTTCAGCTCTTGCATCTTTCTCCAGGCATACCCTGCCTTTTTTTCAAGAATGATCTGCATGAGCTTATGAAACAGACAAATAGAACAAGTTAATAGGAGTTACCAGGCATGCTCTGAGTGGAGAAAAGTATTACTGTCATTTGAATGAATACAGTTGCTTTGATTTAATGGTTATAAAATATGGCTCTAAGTTTCCTGGTTTCTAAAGTGAAGAGGGATATATGACAAGTTTTAACTGGGATTAAGCAGTTAATTTAAACTGCTCAGGTCTTCTTCCTGGTATCAGATTTTGAGAGAGAAGTCTTACATGGGGCATTATACATGGGGTAATAGTTCTGAAATCCTACATGTTAGCATCACCTGGTGACATTTTAAAAATACAAATCCACCACCACCACCTCTTGCCCCTAGAGATGTGGATTCACAATGATAGTTGGTTCTCAGAAATAGGTTGCCAGAATCATCTAGGGATATTTTGCTGTAATCAGTTAGGTTTGGAAAGGAGTGATATAGAAGGTACTTCGAGTAAGATGACTGAACGTGATTTCAATGACCTTTGACAGCAACTGCAGAAGTGGAGTTCGTAGAGCCGTTCTTATCACAATCTTTGATAGAAACTGAAAGTGAAATTAAAATACATTTTTTCCCCATGGAAGGCAAACCTGCAAGGGGCTAAGATGCTGTGAGTCCAAGCATATCACCATCTCATGATCTATTTTGATAGACTTTCAAACACTTGAGTTGTCTCATTCAAAATATCATTTCCCTTAACTCTTAATAGGAACTGATTAGAATTCACATCAAAAGTATACTTTCTAATATAGTTCTGATGTATTGGTATCCAGTTATGTTTAGAAAGATAGATCTATAGATTGTAGACATTAGGCAAGCTGTTAATATGCTTTAAAAACATTGTATAATGAATATTAATGAGCTTTGCTTTAATCCAATAATTACATTGCATACAGTACATCCCATATAGATTGCTTTATCTCAAAGTCCCCCTCTCCCCAGAAAAAATGGCACCAGGCATCTTCTGAGCCCAGGGATGAGGTGGTAGTGGTGTTGGTGTGATTCTCTAATGTTCTCAAGAAGCGTCTAGTTCTAAGCTTTACGATTTCCTAAAATCCCCCTAGGGGCCATAGCAGGCAAATGCACCCTGGATACCTGAATAAATTATAGTTCTCTAAGGAATACTTTGATATTATCTAGTGAATGCTGTAGAATATCCACCACGGATCATATTTTTGTTTGTTAGAGTGAAAAATCCCTTCTTCTGAATGAAAGGTAGAGCATATATATTTTTAAGTGTAACATGATTCAAGATAATAAACCATGTAGGCACATTTACTTGCCCTCTTATTTGAAGAGGAGACAAGCTGTTGAGATTTGTTTGCTTATTAAAAATTGTTATCTGATCCATTATTCTAATGGTGATAGCAGAATGCACATTTTGTAACCAGGGATTTTAGTCTGCTCAAGTTGCTGTTCACAGAATCAAAGATCAAAGGTCAGTGAATGAGTAAACAATCTTTCTTTGTTCTAGATAGATTACTCGTCAAGGTGAAAAAGTACTGTGATTGAAGAATATGATGATATGACATTGAGCTGGCTTTTTAAAAATAAAGTACAATGCAAGCACTACCTTATAAAGCTAGCATATACAATTGCACAAATAAAATGTGGATTTTGGTGTTTTTATATTCTCTTATTTTCTGTGTATTTTCAAGTGACAGTTCTTTCATCCATACAGAAAAACAAAACACAACTAGGTAGCCTTGAAGGAAAAAAAAATTACATGAAACTTAGATATTCAATATACTGCCATTAGACTGAGTATCTTTCTATAGAGTAGAAAATCACAAAGAGGGGCACCTGTGTGACTCAGTCAGTTAAGCATCTGCCTTCAGCTCAGGTCATGATCCCAGGATCTTGGGATTGAGACCCACATCGGGCTCCCTGCTCAGTGGGGAGTCTGCTTCTTCCTCTCCCTTTGCCTGCTCCCCCTGCTTGTGCTCCCTCTGACAAATAAATAAATAAAATCTTTTTAAAAAAATCAAAAAGACCTTGTGAAGATATATATATATGGTAAGATTGGCATTTTTACAAAGATAAATGATATGGCTACCTTAATTTATTTTTTAAAATGACCATTATTTTTCCCTTTGCTTAGGAAAGTAAGTCTAAACCAACAACCTTGAAGCCAGTAATTCTGAGTGAAATTGTCAAAGCCCACAAAGAAAAGGTGAAGGAAGTAATAATGAGAGAGAGCGTGGCACCTACCGAACACCTCAGACTCTATGACAAGTATGACTTTCTGATCACCAAAAAAGCTGAGCAAGATGTTGATGATTTCCTTGAAGAAAATCATAGCTATGAGAAAATAATACAAGAAATTCGCAAATACCAAAAACTAATAGAGGAGATACAGTACACATCTAGAAAGGTAAACGATCTGTTTTGTACTACTGTTCTTTGTAACTAATGATCTTTTCCCAGTTTTATTAGGATGTGTCTTTAGACCATACAGTGAAAGAATCAGACCGTTACTGTCAACAGGGAAAGTATTTGTTGCCTTTCCATGAGCCAAACATTGTGGGAAGCCCAGGATATATGGAAGTAGACAAAACAGGGTTCTTGTCCTCATAGAGATGAAAGTCTAGTACTTCAGGCCTGACTTGTAAGTACTTTATATAAATTAACCCCTCAAAAATTCCAAGAACTTAATTTTTTTTTTGCTTTAGTGTTTATAAATCCTTCGGAAAGTATGGTAATTACACCAAAATGTGATTACTTCTGTTCAGTAGGAGACTGGTAATTTAAGATTTTTGTTTGTCCTTTTTTACAGTTTCCAAAATTTCCACCCTAAACATGCATTACTGTTTTGTACAGAGCAGATATAACATTTAAATCCCCCACTCTTGATTTAGCAATAACTCGATTCTCCAAAGTTCTTATGTCCATTTTTTAATTTTATTTATTTTATTTTTATTTTTTTAATCTTATGTCCATTGTTGCCCTGAAATACAGTTGGCTTCCAAGATAACAAACTCTTGAAGGAGATTTACCCAGCAGATGGTTGTAAAATACAAATGAGTGTTTAGAAAATCCTTCCTGCATCATATTAAACACACACACACACACCCCGAATCTTGTTAGATCACATACAAAAAAAACCCCAATATTGTGAGAAAGGCAAAATTGTGGGAACCTTTTATTTTCCTGTTCATTAAACTTTTCATACTTAATGTTGCAGACTGTTCGTTTAGGAATGTTTGAAATGCGCTGTGAGGAATTAATCAGAGCTTTGGTGAAGCGAGCAGAAATTATCTGTGGAAAACTTATAGCTAAAATGTTCCGAGATCATCAGGAAGTAAATACAAGGTATTTTTGTGATACTGATTATTTTTTTTTCAGGGGGATGTTAGAATCAATTGTCATTCAAATAAAGTTACTGATTAGAACAGTGTCATCAATGACCCTCCAAGAAGATAATGCCAAACTTATTTCTACTTGGCTTTGTTATTTTATGATTATTATTAGTTTTTCACCACAAATGCACCTTCCCGATTGCCTGATATAAGGTGGTATTAAAATGTGTTTGCAATTTTGTTTGCACAAGTCAGATGGGCGTTCTCTAACATCACTAAGGTTTTAAGTTTTAAGTTTGTATAATCAGTACACAACATGGATTTTCAAAGTGGATTATACCCAGTAGTTGTCCTGGGTCCTAATGGATCCTCAAATTTTGAACTTGACTCACTGTGATTATTCCTCAAGGCCCTGATAACTTGTTGTCTTAACTAAAAACTTATTTGTTGACTAACCTGGAGATTTTGAGGAAAACTGGCTCATGTTAAGTAAACTCAGAATGCTAAGGTGTAAAGCAGAATACCTGCATTTATTTAGGAAAGAGGTTGAACTAGTCTTTCAATAACTGGTGTTAGTGTTGTTCTGGGAACCTCTTTTCTGTTACAAGTTACATGGGAAATCCCCCCACATAATCAGAAATTTTGTAATGGTTATGGTACTACAGGAAAAATAAATCATTAAAAAGAATATTCAGGCTGTATAAAAGCCTGAAGGAAGCTTGTAATAGGCACAACAGTAGGTGCTTATACTCTAAATATGAATATAACTGCTGAAGAAAGTTACAGTCTTAAGGGGAAATAGACATACAAACCAGTAAATTATAGTAGGCCTCAGTAAATACTGTAGTGAGCCACAGACATAAAACAGAGAAGGACATGATTAATTTCTTTCACGGTGGAGGTTGGGCAAGTGGGGAAAATCAGGGAAAGCTACAAAGAGGAAGAGGATATGTGAATTCATTTTAGAGGATGAGTAGTGGGAGTCTACCAGGTGAACAATGTAAATAAAAGAATTCCAGGTAGAAAAAGTAGCATGTAGAAAGGTGTGAGGTGTGAAAATGGCATGGTGTTATTTTAAGAACTGGGACTGATCTGTGTTGCTTTCACAGACACGGTGAGGAAAGAGGAGTGAGGGATAAGGCTGAAGCAGGAGAGTACTTGCATAGCTTTTCTAGGAACCAGAATCCTATATTCAACTGTAAAAGCACCTTTTCCTCTAAAAGTTCTGGAAGAATAGTGAAAATGTCTTTTACTTGTAGCTTTTCATGCTGAATGAAATATTTATTCTAATTTCATAGCTATTTTCCCTGCCTCCTAACTGCCCTCTGAGCTCGTGCTGATTCTACTTTTTCCCTCTTTCTCCTAATTGTGCTTCTCAGCACACTCACTGGATGTACAAAGGACATATCAGGAATATTAGAGGACCCATCAGAAATGCGTGCCTCAACTTCTTGCCCCTCCATGCCTCAACTCACCTCTGTGTGAACCCTTCATTCCTCTCCCCACATTTTCGGGCAAGAGTCTGTCACACCATTCAAAGTTCTCTCTGCCTATGGGCTCAACCCTATTGCCTCCCATTCTTCTGGAGCTGGTTCTACCAGTCACCTGTCTCCTCTGGATCTCACTATAAATCTCTCTTCTGCTGTGGATTCTGTCTCTCAAACTCATAACCATGTTCAGAACCCTCTTCCATCTTCCACCTCCCACTTCAACCCAAACTCACAACCATGCTTTTTTCCTTCACCTCACAGCCATTCTTCTTTCTTCTTCTTCCTTCTTCTTTCTTCTCCCTCCTCCTCCTCCTTCTTCCTTCTTTTTCTTCTTCTTTTTTTTTTTTTTAAAGAAAGAGAGGGTAGGGAGAGGGAGAATCTTAAGCAGGCTCCATGCCCAGTGGGGAGCCTGAGGTGGGAGGCTTGATCTCACGACCTGACATCATGACCTGAGCCAAAATCAAGAGTCAGAGGCTTAATTGACTGAGCCCCCTAGGTGCCCCATCACAGTCAATCTTCTTGAAGAAATTTCTACATGTTTTGTCTGGACTTTTTTAGCTTCTACCACTTTTATTTTTTTAATCTCACAGTAAGTTCATTATATGGGCCCAAACCCAAATGAGTAGGAAATATTTGCCTATTAGCAGAAGTTTCTGAGTATAGAGGCCCATGTTAACCATTCCCCACAAGTAGAGTTAATCACTCTCTTATTTAGTACTACTTTTTTGGTGCTGTCTTAACTAAATCTCTGGTAGAGCCCCTAAAATTCTAGGTTGGAAGTGATTATTTATGGCCCTGTCTTCTATACAGGAATATGAACTGCTTGAGAGTCATTATTATATCTTCATTTCTCTATCTCTGCCACTTAATATTATAATTGGGAATGTAAGAGATGATCATTAAATGTGTATTGAATGAATCAGTATGGGCAAAAATTTGCTTTTATTTCTTTAGATGTCATATAGATAAGATCATCTTACTTTATTTTTCACATACTGGCACATTTAAATAGTATATAAGAATATATTTAGGAATACAATTTAATTGCATAAAATTGATTTTCTCTGGTGTTTCAGATTATGTGATGAATTTGAGAAGATAGCTGAAAAAGCTCTTAGCACTCCTCCAAATACAGCAGAACTAATGGAAATGAAGGTATTGTTTATAAACTTTATAGTCGTATGTGTGTAAGTTAATTGTTTCCCCAGCCGTTATCAGTTAGTTATCAACATGATAATACAATAACAAATCATTCTAAAAGTTAAAAGAGGCTTAAAATAACATTTTGTTTTGTTATTCTTAGCTCATGAGTCTACAGTTTGGTGATTCAGGCTGGGTACTCCTGGCTGGTTCTGGTCACAGTTGGGTCACTCACTCAACTGGGTCAGCTAGTTCTCAGTTGGATAATTTGACTCTGCTCCACTTGTCTCTTAAATTCCAGCAGGCTCACTGGGCATGTTCTCATGGCATGGTAGAGACACAAAATCAAGCCCAGGTGCACAAATACTTTTCAAGTGTCTCTGTGCATCACATTAGTTAACATCTCATTGACCAAAGCAAGTCACATGGCCACAGCATGAGAAGATGCCACAGGGTATGGATACTGGGAGAGGTGAAATATGGGCGCTGTTCGTGTAATCGTCTACTGATATTTTTGAGAACACTATTAATATTACCATGCTAGCAGGCATAAACCAGGACTGTCTTGGGCAACATGAGATATGTGGTCATCCTTAATTTTTTTATCAAATATTTAATCTTTAATAATTTGTTTTTTATAAGCTGTTTTTGTTATACATTAAAATTTTCTGTGGTAGTTTGCCAAAATATGTTTTGAGCATAGGATTTATGGTGTTAAAAATATTAGCTAAGTCTCACTTTAATCATTTTTCATGTTCCTTCTGTGCTTGAAGTCTGCCTAATGGTGAGTAAAAGAGTATAAAACAACTAGCTAATCACCATTTTATTTTATTCCTTTTTCAATCTTATAACAACAAGCTTTTATAGGACTTAATCCCCCTTTTCCATCCAGCATTCCCAAGATCGAAATTAGAATCTTTTCTTTTTAGATTTTAAAATATTTAAGCAAACCCAGAAAAACATGTAAAATAATTCAAAACTTTATATAAGCAAGAAATTACAAAAGAAGTGCAAATGCTTATGTATATTCTTTAGTCGTTTAAAGAAGTTTTTTTAAATCATTAGAACCAACTTTACATATCAGGCTTTAACTAAAAGAATTCTATTTCTTTACAGTATTTGTACTTGTATTGGGGTTGTTAGCATGTGAATTTATGTGTGTATGTGTTTGTGTGTATCTGAGATACACATATAAATATGATCTCTCTTAGAAGATTTTTATATTTTATATTAGAAGATTTTAAATATTTTATATTTATATTTTATATAGTTGTTGTAGGATGTCAAGTGATGCTTTGATCATGGATGATTATAAAGTAGCTGGAGAATTCCATAACTGTATATTCCTTTGGAAAAATGAATATCAAGTATGAAGAGTGTCATTTATTTCCATCACTGGAAATATTTACAAATTTGGAGTTATTTAGTGTGAATTTCTATTGTTCATAGCGACTTGTAACAGAAATTAGCAAATAGGATTCATTTAACTGGTATTTAAAATATTTCTGCATCTAGGGTTCCTGGGTGGCTCAGTTGGTTAAGCAACTGCCTTCGGCTCAGGTCATGATCCTGGAGTCCCAGGATCGAGTCCCACATCGGGCTCCCTGCTCAGCGGGGAGTCCACTTCTCCCTCTGACCCTCCCCCTTCTCATGTGCTCTCTCTCTCTCTCTCTCTCATTCTCTCTCTCAAATAAATAAATAAAATCTAAAAAAAAATTTCTGCATCTTAAAAAATTTAGTCACACAAGGGCAAAATAACTTCTCAATTTATTCAATACCAAAATCAGTCATTTATTATCAGTTGGGGAAATAAAAATCCAGTCGTTTGACTAAACAGAAATCTGATTAACCAAATTATACAAATATATTTTCAGTTAGACATTTTGTTACTTGTGGAAACCACCATGGTTCCCATCTTATTTGTTTGGATTTGTAGCATAATATTAAGTCTTGTTAGAATGATTTATTAATGAAAGGCTTTTAGACAATGTTGGTTTTTTCCTTTTTAATTACAAAAGTAAAATTTTAAACAATATGGGATTGTACAAAGTAAAAAAACAAGTTTATCTTTTTCCATAATTCCTTTCTTTAGAGTAATGATTTTTTTTAGTATGAATTCTGCTTTTTCCAAACATATATACAGTATTAAGTATAAATAACACTAGAAAGAGAGATGAAGAAAGTCAGAGAAATGAAGATCAGACTTTTAAAAACATAAAAGAAGCATTTACTTCATAGACAGGGAGGTGTAGGATATACAATAGGGAAGGTGAATATAAGTAGTTACAAGTAATTGCTAGTCTTATTTTTCAATGGGGAAGCAGGTTTCCTTCAACATTTATATTATTCAGGTATATAAATTAACATGTACCAGAAGAGCTTTGAGAGCGCTCTATGTGTATATGTACGTGTACACGCGCACGTGTCTGCATGTGCTTATGTGCACACACATATACATACATACACTTGTGCATTCACCACCCCCCCCCACAGATTTGTTTTTGCAAAAAAAAATCATTACTCTGCTGCAAGTTACTTTATTCACTTAACAATATACCTTCTTTATATTTCCAAGATCAATAGCTAATTACTCTAATATGATTTATTAAATGATCTGTCATTTCACTCCTGATTTTAAATGCATCTTTTCAACACTAAATTTCCACATGTACATGGATCTAGTTCTGATCTCTGTTCTTCTCCCTCTTCTATTCCTGGGACAGAACAAGAACTGTTTAAATAACTGTACCTTTATAAATTATATTTTCATATTTGGCTAGTCTCTATCATTTTTTTTCCATGATTATCTTTGCTACTCTTAAGTATTTACTATTTCAGAGGCTTTCAGAATTATGACAAATTTTGTTTTTTAAAATGCCATTGCAATTTTGATTGAAATTGCATTGGTTTTATAGACTTCCTGGAGGAGAATCTACGTCTTGAGAATATTACATCGTAACATATATTTCCACATTTATTCAGAACTTTTAAAATGTCCTTCAGTGAAGTATTACAGTTTTCCTCATACAGATTTAGCACACTTCTTGTTAACTTTGCCTATAGCTATATTTTACTTTTTGTAATTAAAGAAAGTGTTGTAGCCCTGATGTCTGCTGCAAGTTTGCAATTTGACGTTTGTTACGGTGGTGATTCGACTAATACTTGTCTCCCCCAACAAGTCTATAAGGGCAAAACTCTGGTCTGTTGGTTGTCATGCGGAATTGCCAGCACCTGGCAAAGTGTCAGGCACTGGAGGTGGGGCATTAGTAGGTACCCCAAAATGCTACTGTGAAAGAATACATGATATCACCCGGCTTCGTCACTCCCAGAAACGCATAACATTCTTCTCTGGTTTTCCAGTGCTTCTTATGTGTTGTTTAGTATTTTCTATTTTTTCCCACTGCTGTTGTGTAGAGGTGCTTGGGACTGATGACAAGGAAGCTGTGCTGCAGTCTCCTCTCTTGAACCAAAAGTCTACATTTCCAACAAGTCTGTGCAGATTCAGGCATCTTTATGCATAGTGTCTCCACAGCCTATGTTTTGACTTGAGCTGTGCCTTAGTATGCCATTTGCAATTTTTGTCTTCCTGCAGGCTTATATTCAGAAAGTAGAGACAACTGACATGGTTGAACTGGGCCAGAGATTGGTGGATTCTAAAAACTGCCTCGCTTTCCTCATTGAGTGCACAAACTTTTCTCCAGCAGACATAAGGCTAAATAATAATGTGTTCCAGTGGTATGGAAGAATGGATGAAGTTTTTGATGAGCACAGGAAAATCATTAAGGAGAAAACAGAACAATATCAAGAAGGCCTGAAGGTTGGCATCATAGATATTTTAAATTATTTTCATTTTCTGGAAATGCGTACATTTCAGCTTCTTCCATAGTATCGTCAGCTCCTCTGTTTCATGGGTCAGATACTTAAGCTTTCTCATGCCATCAATTTTAGCAGAAGATGGTATCCATACTGGCTTGATAGGGTATCATTTCTTGACTTTGCAAGGGTGAAAATTCTTATCTATTGCCCACAAACGACCATTAATAAAAAGTGTTTGTCTTATACAGTTTATAGTACTCTTTTGAGTTATTTTTATTGTTTAACATCCAAGCTCCCTCAGTGAAGTGTGCCTTCACACACTCCAACTCACCTAAGGATTGTGCCCAGAGTCCTCCCTCGAACATTCAATAACTCTCACCTTTTCTGGTGTCCTACATGTAAGATGGTTTGTGATTTTCCCCTTGTCTACTTGTCTGGCCTCATCTTCTACCTCCTCTGCTCCTTGTTCTTGACTTTTCAGTAACCCTGAGCAACTTTTAGATCCCTGGCCTCTGACACCTCTCCTCTCTTGCACGTTCTCTCCATTCACTGGCAAGCGCACCCCTGGCCCGCTCATGTGCTTGTCTCTCTCATGTACTCAATTGACTCTCTCAGAATTCCTCTCATCAGACCTCAGCTCTGCTTCTTCTCTGCTCCCACTACATTTTTAACACACCTCCCCTGGACTAACTACCCGATCATGATGTTATTGTCAGGTGCATTTCCCCAGTAGACGGTCAGCTCTTTGATGATAGCAGGCCTGTTTCATGTGTTCCTATTCTCCCTTTGTACCCATGGGCCGGTGAGGTGCCTGACTCACAGGAATTGTGTGAGCACTCCATAGCTATTGTCTGAATAAATGATTTCATGTTTTCAGTTTCATTTTACAGATGAAGAAGCTGAGGTTCCCAAAGTGAAGAGACCTGTGCAAGATCAGCCAGGAGTGATGTCCCTTAATAGCAAATCACATTAAAGCAAATATGGTTAATTGGCAGGACACGTTTGGAGAATAATTCATAGGCTTAACCAAAAACTTTATTTTAAACTGTAGTCTGTGTTTCTGTTGTACATTTAGGCCTTTTCAGATTGTTTTTAAACCTGTAGAAAACATCATGAATATCAAATATTAGACCCAGAAGTTATAACAGATTCTTAGGAAACTGTTAGGTGGCCCAGAATTATCTATACTTTACTGCAAAATATACTATTCTACAAACTTCTCATAATGTTGATGAATTTCATCTTCTCATTTTCCTTCCCCCACTGGGCCAGAGCAATAAAACTTCCATGAACTGAAGAAGACAGAAATCAGCCTAGATAATCCATAAAATATAAAATCTATTTTTGAATAACCCAGATTTGACTTTTGAATATTTTATTAAGAGCTATTTTTTTAGAGCCATTTAATTTGGAGCACCTTACCAATGACAATTTTATAATGAGCTTTTCTCATTAAAAAAAAAAAACACGTTACGTGCTCTGTTAAGCGCTGTGAATTGTGCAGGACTGTTGAGTCTCAGATCTGTACCTCTGAGACAAATAATGCAAGATATGTTAAGAAAAAAAAAAGAAGAAGAAGAAGGTAGCGGGAGGGGAGGAATGAAGCGGGGGAAATCGGAGGGGTGGACGAACCATGAGAGAAGATGGACTCTGAAAAACAAACTGAGGGTTCTAGAGGGGAGGGAGGTGGGAGGATGGGTTGGCCTGGTGGTGGGTATTGAGGAGGGCACGTTCTGCATGGAGCACTGGGTGTTGTGCGCGAACAATGAATCATGGAACACTTCATCTAGAACTAATGATATAATGTATGGGGATTAACATAAGAATAAAAAAAAAACAAACCACACACCTGTTTTATATTGGAAGGATAGAGTTTTTAGATTTTAAAATCCAGATACATTTACCTTGCACATTTCCTGTGAAGAGAGTCCATAGGACAAGAAAAATAACCTTGGAGTATTTTGTTTTAGCAACTGAAAATTGAAAAGATACTGAGTATCAGAACACAAAGAAAGTCTGTTTTTTTTTTTTTCAGTTGTTTGTAAAAATGCCATAGATCTCATTATAGTCCTTAAAAAACTGGCTTTCTTTTAGCCCCATACTTGATTATTAAGAATTTTAAAAAATTCTTATAAATCATTTGTTAGCACACATTCTTTAGCATGCTTAAGAATAATACCACTGTTTAACCCGTTCTTATTTTACTGGTTAGAATTTCTTAAATTGATAGAACGAAGTTAATTTTATCTAATTTCTGAATTATAGGAATCTTAATTCATTAATTTTAAATCCTGACTCTTAAAAATTATGCATGTTTTAGATCCTTGTCCTCTTCCAGATGATTCCTCTCTTTATATCTTGCCAGTGACAAAATAGAATAATAATTCTGATAATCTTTACAAATATTTACTTCCTTGTGATGCCTAGGAGTTTTACCTTTAAAAAAATCCTAACAACAAATATTGTTTGTACTAGTTACGATGTGAACGGTTTGTGGAGGAATTGGAGAGTTATGCTAAACAGGCCGAAGAATTTTACTCCTTTGGAGACCTTCAGGATGTACAGCGATACCTGAAAAAGGCTCAAGCACTGAATGGAAAGTTGGACTTAGCAGCAGAAAAGGTATAATTTTAAAATTTTTAAGAGGATGAATTAGTTCAAAAGAAAGAGCATTGAGTTTGAGTTCTATATTCACCTTTTAAAAATAGATTAAAATAAAATTTCAACTACCTTTAGAGAATAATATAAATGGTGCAAATATCACTCTGCTGTACATCTAAAACTAATATAACTTGGTATCTTAACTATACTGGAATTAAAGTTTTTAAAAAATAATAGGGGTGCCTGGGTGGCTCAGAAGGTTAAGCGTCTGCCTTCAGCTCAGGTCATGATCTCAGGGTCCTGGGATCGAGTCCCACATGGGCCTCCTTGCTTGCTGGGGAGCCTGCTTCTCCCTCTGCCTGCCACTCCCCCTGCTTGTACTCTCCCTCTCTCTCTTTCTGGCAAATAAATAAAATCTTTAAAAAAATAAAAAATAAATTAAAAAATAAAAAATAATAAATGGCAAAAATAGATCTAATAGACATGCTTTGAGGAGAAGCAGCATTGCTGTTTCTTTTTGGTAGTTATCTCAGCAGCCTCTGTCTTTTATTTAAAAGATAGAGTGATATTTCCATCTGCTTATTTTTTATTTTGCATCACTGAATCATTTACATCATGTGCTAGTACCTGCTTACTTGTTAGTTTGTCCGTCTTCATAGAAGCTAGTGTAGATTTGGTGGCTGTGTTTTTAAATTAGACCCATCATCTTCTCCCATTGGGCCACTGTGTTCCCAATATTGCTATGTCAGAACTTGGCTTTCTCGTTAGAAGAAGCTGGAGGTGGAAAAGCCATATCCTTTGCCAAAGAGGATGTTTGAGGTTTTTAATTGTATTTTTTTTTATAAAAAGGGGAAATATGAAAACAGACCATATTATGATGCTTTCCTGTTTCCTAAAATCAAAGATTTTAGTATCTTGTTAGTTCAGGTAATTAAATAGTTTATAATAGTCACAAAAGTGTGAACACATGTTGAGAAAGGAGAAACCATAGGTTTTAGAATTCGGTGGCCACTGAAATTTTGGGTAACCTGCATAATTTATATACCTAACTCACACTTTTCAACTCTATAGATTTCTCCTCTAAACCACCCATATCCTCACATACTTCACTACTAAACAAAGAGGAAATTAATACTTTCTTTGCCTCTTCTTTTTTTTTTTAGGATTTTATTTATTTGAGAGAGAGCAAGCTTAAGGAGGGGGAGCAGGGGGAGGGGATGAAGCAGACTCCCCACTGAGCAGGGAGCGCAACCCTGGCCTCCATCCCAGGACCCCAAGATCACGACCTGAGTGAAGGCAGATGCTTAACTGACTGAGCCACCCAGGCGTCCCTTCTTTGCCTCTTCTTACCCTACACACATCTTTAAGACCCGTTTCTGGTTTCATCTTCTCTACCTAAACATCTATTTACCATGATCTCTTACCTCTGAGTGAGAGCATTTTTAGTATATACTATTCATGTATATTAAAGAGCTACTGCTCTAAGACATCTCTTCTATTGCCTCATATTATTGTTGAACAATTGCAATTTAACTTTCTACATATGCATGTCTATCTCCTGAGCTGAAATACTACCTCCTTAGAGTTGGTATTTTGCAACATAATACTTTTTTCTCTATTTTCCATAGTACCTGATAATGCTGTGTGTATTAAAAGTACTTAAGTTCTTGGGGCACCTGGGTGGCTCAGTCGGTTAAGCGTCTGCCTTCAGCTCAGGTCATGATCCCAGGGTCCTGGGATCGAGCCCCACATCGGCTCCTTGCTCAGCAGGGAAATTGCTTCTCCCTCTCCCTCTGCCTGCTGCTTGTGCTGTCAACTAAATAAATAAAATATATAAAAAAAAAAGTCCTTAAGTTCTTGTTAATTAATAAATGATGGTATAACCTCAATATATCTGGATGGGCAAAGACTTCTTCACATATATGTCATTACTATTTTAACTTAACCAGATACTATTCTCTGGAAAATGTAATAAAAAAAATAGAAAGGGTAGATTACTGCTCAGCAATTCTGGATTATGGCCTAATTTCAGTTTAACTTTGGGGCTTAGTGAGGGCTTTGGGGTCACATTAGATAAAAAATGTTTTTTAAAAATTAATTTTGAATATCCTTCACTTCTAGAATAATATATTTTATACCTGTCATTCCAGATTGAGCAATTTAATGCTGAAGAAGAGGCGTTTGGTTGGCTACCATCAATATATCCTCAACGTAAAAAAATCCAAGATGGTTTGAACCCTTACCTTCGTCTCTACGAAACTGCTGTTGAATTTAGCAACAAATACCGAGGATGGACTGAAGGCCCATATCATAAGGTGAATCCAGACCAAGTAGAAACAGATGTTGGAAATTACTGGAGAGGACTGTATAAGCTGGAGAAAATCTTCCACGATTCTCCAAATGCATTGGCAATGACAAAAAAAGTAAGAGCAAAGGTAGAAGATTTCAAGCAGCACATTCCTCTCATTCAAGTGATCTGTAATCCTGGTTTGCGCCCCAGGCACTGGGAGGCCATGTCCAACATTGTTGGCTACCCACTGCAGCCAGCAGATGACTCCACTGTCTTCACTTTTTTAGACATGGATTTGGAACCATATTTAGATAGGTTTGAAGGTATTAGTGAAGCAGCTAGCAAAGAATATTCTCTTGAAAAGTCCATGGACAAGATGACTAATGAGTGGGATACAATGGAATTTGTCATTCTTCCTTATAGAGAAAGTGGGACGTTTATTCTGTCATCAGTTGATGAAATTCAGATGTTGTTGGATGACCACATTATTAAAACACAAACTATGCGAGGCTCTCCTTTCATCAAGCCTTATGAAAAACAAATAAGGTAAATGGCCATGTTACCAAAACAAACAAGGTTTATGCCATGTTACCAAAATTGTATGTAATTTGTATTATCACTTGTATGTAATATACAGTTCTTTTTGAAAGTTGATTCTGCACTTCATACTTAATATTTTAAATAGTTGATTGGAAGGAATGATAACCTTCTTTGCATTTGGAATAGTACTTACTCCTTGGTATCATCTATAGTCATAACAAAGGTAGTGGACAATCAGCCTCCAGAAACTCATTTTTATTGCCTACAGTCTGATCTTATACATTTGACTCAAAAATAATTTCACATCTCTGCACATAGCTCATAGAACATATAAACTCTGAAACTGAAGATAATGTCATTTTCCAAATATACTAATTAGGTTATTGTAGATCATCCTTGAAAGTTTATTATAATTTTCACTTCTATGCCTGAAGGATGGCTAGGTAAGTGCAGAAGTATGAATACTATGACTCTAGTCTAGAGTTTCAGGCTCTGACACAGATGATTAAATTAAATCCTTATCCTGTCTGTTTTTTTAAATTTTTGTAGTTTGTAAGAAACAGTTTATATTTACCTTCAAAAAGAGAGTAAATCCAACTCCTACTACCATCTTCAATAAGAATTTGTATGACAAGGGAAAGCTAACTGCTTGGCAGTGTCCACCTCTGGTTATTGATGTGTTAATCCTAAACTTGAGTATTCTCTGGCATTGGCCTAGTTCCCCCTGTTGCCCTGCCTCCTACCTTGCTTGCTCCAATGTGCTCATCAAGAGTAATTTTTTTAACTACTCTGAAAGTGGTATAACCAGATTGGATTTTTAAGGGCTATCCATGAGATCATTTGCTAGTGGGAAATTTTCCATGTCAGTCAGGGATTAAATGGAGAAAGAGGGAAGAATGATGGGAGGCAGAGGCATTTCTTCTTGTGAAAAGAGGTTAAACAAATTCACTGATAAATGTTGAAGGGATTTTAGAAAAGCGTTTGAAAATGCCTGGTGACTTTTAGACTTCTATTTACAGGGCTTGGTTTTAACAGTCTAAAATTACAGGTCACTAATTATAAATGATGAGTAATGTATTAATCTACACATAAAGCTATCCCATCTCTAAGGTCTGTTGCCATTGACCGATCATTCTTCTCGACGGCTATGTTATCTTTTGTAGCACAGTGATTGCAGCAATCTGGGTTCAAATCTGGTTCTATCGTTTATTCGCCGGGTGGACTTCAACCTCGCTATGTGCCTTAGTCTCCCCACTGGTAAACAGATATACTGGAGCTCATAGGGTTATGGTGAGGAGGGAGCAAACACATGCAGAGACCTTAGAATCGTGCTTATAAAATAATTAGTTTAGAGTGTAATTATAATATTCTTGAGGAAATCTTGTCATTATTTTTGTACTCCATATTTAGAAATGAATAGATCACTATTGTAGATTAAAAATGCTTCCTTCTCATGAATGCCACACTATTATATTTTAGATTATATAGATTTTTCTTTAAATGCCAGTTAGATCTTATGAATTAAAATATTGTGTTCTAGAAATAAAGCCTTTATGGGCCCAATTTTTTTTTAAAAAGGGGAATGTTAAAGGAAATGAGTCTTGGATGTAACTACCTTTCCTCAGAAGTTCAGAGTGCCCTTCACTAAGAACATCATTACTGTCTCCAAAATCTCATTTCTCAGTTTGTACCCTCCAGCCATGGAGTTGATTTGCAGGAAGGTTTATTGCTATGGCATATCCAGAAACCAGCCATTTGTAGAAAGGTATATCTGAACATGTATATTCCATATAAACATAAGTGCTGCTGCTATTATTTTAAAACAGATTTTGTGGAACAAATTTTGTGATTTGTTGTCAAATGAAGGTAGAGGAATGGAATGGGAATAGCAGCGCTGCATACAAGATTGACAATCATAGGTATCGTTTTGAGTTTTGTCATTTGAAACATTGCTTGATTTGCTGTTGAACCAGTGTGTTTTGCTTCTCAGAGAATGGGAGAGCAAGCTCCTGCTGCTTCAGGAAATTCTGGATGAATGGCTCAAGGTCCAAGCCACATGGCTATATTTGGAGCCCATTTTCAGTTCTCCAGACATTATGTCTCAAATGCCTGAGGAAGGAAGACGATTTACAACTGTGGATAAAACATGGAGAGATATAATGAAAAGTGTTGTACAAGTAGGTGAAAATCTCTGAGAATGTAATTATTTGGTTGAAGTGACAAGATTTTTGTTTTCAAAACAATCCAAAAAAGTCATTGTCTTTTCCCCCACATAGGTTCCTTTTTCAGATATTATTTTAGAATCCTAGGAGGAAGAAATATAAACTGAGTAGATATTTTGTCCTGACTACTTCTTGGGGTCCAAAGTAATTTGCATTATTTAATGACAGGTGGTTCTATTAGTGGTTCCTACTGGATGCTCTGGCAGGAAGTCACCGTATGCAGCACGTGATGTCCCCTCTATTTTATGCCCCCCTTGTTATGGGCTGCACCACCACTGAAATGCACTATAGTGGGAACATGGCAGCATGCCACTCAAACAATAAGTTTCTCTTAGGGCATCTAAAAAAACGATGAGTTGCTATAAACATCGGGGTGCACGTACCCCTTCGGATCCCTACATTTGTGTCTTTGGGGTAAATACCCAGTAGTGCAATTGCTGGGTCGTAGGGCAGCTCTATTTTCAACTTTTTGAGGAACCTCCATACTGTTTTCCAGAGTGGCTGCACCAGCTTGCATTCCCACCAACAGTGTAGGAGGGTTCCCCTTTCTCCACATCCCCGCCAACATCTGTCATTTCCTGACTTGTTAATTTTAGCCATTCTGACTCGTGTGAGGTGGTATCTCATTGAGGTTTTGATTTGGATTTCCCTGATGCAGAGTGATGTTGAGCACTTTTTCATGTGTCTGTTGGCAATTTGGATGTCTTCCATGGTGAGCGCTGTGAATTGTGTAAGACTGTTGAATCACAGACCTGTACCTCTGAAACAAATAATACATTATATATTAAAAAAAAAAGAAGATAGTAGGAAGGGAGAAATGAAGGGGGGGCGGAATTGGAGGGGGAAACGAACCATGAGAGACTACGGACTCTGAGAAACAAACTGAGGGTTCTAGAGGGGAGGGGGCAGGTGGATGGGTTAGCCTGGTGATGGGTATTAAAGAGGGCATGTACTGAATGGAGCACTGGTTGTTACATGCAAACAATGAATCATGGAACACTACATCAAAAACTAATGATGTAATTTATGGTGATTAACATAATAAAATAAAAAAAAATCCAAGAAATAGAAAAAAAAATTTAAAAAATTAAAAAAAAGATGAGTTGCAAAGATAAATTTAAAAAGACCAATAAACACAAACAAAATGCAATCAATCAAAACACAAATACTGAACTGACAATTTAAGGATGGAATTTGGTTCCCAAACTAGTACACTGAAAAAGATACGATTTTTTGTTCAATTCAAAAGACATTTATTGCCCACAAAGCATGGTTTGTATGTTACTGGGAAGTTAACATTAAAGTAGAAGAAATATTAGTTATTAAATTATATTCATTAAATGAATGTAAATTTCTCCATTGGTGTTTTTGATCAAATACAATACTGGAAGGTAAGATGAGTATTACCTTAAAATTTTCCTACCCTAAAATAGAAATACACATATTGTTATCATTTAAACTTTGAAAGTTGTGACTATAATCCTAAATATGGATAATACTGTTTCAACATCAACTATATGACTTGCTAGGAAAAATATTCAGAATGATAGACATGGGTTTAATAAGTTTACTTCATTTTATGTAGTAATACTTGAAACATACCTCTGTATAAACCAAACTTCTGTAAAATTAATCACACTGGAATTCTATATTTAAAGGACCTATTGGTGAGTCACTTTGTAATACATTTAATCATCTCTATTTTATTTTAAAAATTTAGCCTTTTGTATATCATTTCCTTACAAAAGGGCAAAACCCTTACAACATGTACACATTTTCACTTTGAAAAGGATGAAGGAGAATTTTTTTGGTTGTTCAAAACAAAAAGTAGATGTTTGTATTTTCCTAGTTAAGATAATTTTTAAAATTAAAAAATACACTCTTTTTTTGGTATTTGATCAAAATACTCTTCAAAATCCCTTATTGCTAAGGAAATTTTATAGGTATTTTAGTACCTAGAAAAAGGGCAGCTATGCTGGGGCTAGTAAATTAAGGAGACAGATCTTCAATTCTATCAAACTGCTGAATTAAAAAACAGGGACACCTGGAGGGCACAGTCGGTTGAGCGTCTGACTCTTGGTTTCAGCTCAGGTCATGATCTCAGGGTCATGGGATTGAGCCCTGAGCTGGGTTCCATGATCATTGTGGAGTCTCCTTAAAGATTCTCCCTTTCCCTCTGCCCCTCTCTCCCCTCTCTAAAATAAATAAATCTTAAAAAACAAACAAGTACACCTGAAACTAATAAAACACCATATTTAAAAGAAAAACAGACAAAACAAAACAAAAAAAACATTACTTACTCTTGATCCCAAATAAGCAGTTTCTTTTGGGTGACACTTCCTTTACTCTTGCTGTAAGACCTGATTGTCTTCCTGAACTGGTTTTACATTTTCTTTTTCTCAATATATTAGTATGCAGGACAGCTTTTGTTCATATTCCCCAAAGCTTTGAAAATAAACCTAAGTCCATATTTTCTCAGGAAGGCTAATGAGATGACCTGTGTAGTAGAGACACCACTGAATTAAGTGTTTGATACAAAAAGCCATCAATTTCCATCTGAGGGATTCCTAACAAAGGTTCTTTTAGAACTAGGCAAGAGAAAAGACTCGGAGGTTAAATAGAGAATGTGAAAGATAATTTAATATTCTGAAACCTGCTACCAAAGATCCTATCTCACTAGGAGAGGCTCCATTATTGACCATTCAATCTAATTCCAGAATTTTTCAATCACTATTAAGATAGTTTTGCCTATAAAGACTTAGCTGTACCTATTTCAAAACCTCAGTCTCATGTTCTACCCTGAGCTCTTCTCCTTTGCACAGGGTAGGTAAAGCGGAGTTTCCAGTGTTGGGGAGATGTGGGGACTGCCCTCCCACACTACTTCTCTCCTTCCTGCGCTTATTGATGGGTGCTGAGACAAAGAGAAGGAGGGAGTGGGAGGAGAAAGATAGGAAGAGGGCAAGAACGAGAGAGGATTTACTGATATAACTGATCCAGTCAAATTGGCTGTCCTTTTTGTTGGAGGTCATACGATGGCCAGCCTCCTGTCAGTGGAGTCCAGGCAGTCACTATACTTTTACTTTTGGTCATCACAACTGGCCTAGCTTTTAGATAAGTTGTGGACAGGTGAAGTCCACAAATTGACTCAGTATGGACAGGTGAAGCTCCCAACAAGCTCTGTCTGGTAAGAGATCCTATCATGAGCAGCATCTCCCAGGTTTGACATCCTCTGTGAGATTTGGCTGCATCTTCAACCTGACCTTTCAGTGGTGGTTACTGCCGCATTTTTCTCATATGTGTGTCTCTGCCCCAGGCTATAGCAGTATTTCACAAGTCAGTAGCCCTTAATTTCGTCTGGGGCTTGCAGAAAGGTGGGATCCATCATCTGTACCTTGTGGTGGCCTTGAGCACCCCTCCTTCAACTGGTCATTCCACCACACCATCTTCTCCTGCGGTTCTTTTCCTGCTCTGGTCACACTGGAGCAGACTTTCAGTTGGGAGAGATGTTAGCTTCCTCTCTTTGCAGACACTTGAAAACATTTCTAAGGATTCTCTTGGCCCACCTCCTTAAGATTCAGGGATGGAAACCAGTTAACTGCCTACCGTTTGGAGGTGAAAGAAGTGAATAATCTTTCTTCATGTATACTGCACTCACTTTCAAACTTTTGACCCTTACAAGTCTTCGTTTGTAGTCCATACAGGCAGAAGAATGCACTCTCGAACTTCTCCCCAAAACTTTTCCTCTGGTAGTCTAACCCCATCTTAGTACACATAAATACCATTCCCTTGGTTGCTCAGGCGAAAAACTTAGGAGTCGATTCTTTTTTTTCTTTCTTTCTCTTTACTATAGTAAATATGATCACTTGGCACCACATATCTCCCTTCTTTCTAGTGAGCTGGAAAGCTAAAAATCACCTCCCTCAGACTCCCTAGCATCTAGTTTTTGGCAGTGAATGAGATTTAGACAACTATAAACACTCACTTGGGATTTGGAAAGCGTAAGTGAAATTGAAGCCATCTTGTTGCCATTTTAGGTATTTCTGCTGTCAGGCAAGATGATGAGCGCAAGACTTCTTTTTTTTTCTTTTCCAGCAAGACTTCAATGTCTGGTCATCAGTTTTATAGGTATTTAGAGGCAGTGATGATGGTGGCTTTCTGAGCCCTAGATTCACAGTCACCATAGTGTGTCCTTGAATGCAGTAGTGCTCGTGGTGGTATCCTGTCCTGATTGGGGCAGGGGTAGAGACACTCCTGGAAGGTCAGCCTCACAGTGTTTCAGGAGTCTCTCCTGAAATGTGCTCCCCCAGACCTTCTAATGATTTTTGTAATCGCTTCATTCCCTACATTAAGTATCTTTTTTTGCTTAGTGTACCTAGAAGGATTCTATTCTGCACTGAATTCTGAATAAATGTGTGAACACCTCAAAGATGGAACTAGGATTGTTTATAGGACCCAGCTGGGTTTTAGGATGGGAAAAATCTAGTTACCATTTGAAGATGGAGCCCTGGTGGTTCCTGGCATGCAGTACAAAAATCACTTAAATTATGCTCTTGGTCTCCTGGAATGAAGAGTCTATTTTATAGGTAATGCTTTGGTGGACCAAGTGGCTGCTGGAATCAGCACGGTAGGAATTTGAGATAAAGGGGATATGAGATGGGCTGAATTCTTTTAAAAGCACTGGAGAAATTAAAGAATGATACAGCTTAATTCAGAATTTAAAACTCTACTCAAAGCATGGTCAGAAGACTAAGGAGCTTCTGTGACTGCCCTCAAAGAGCCTCTTATTTCTCCTTGCTACAAGTTTGACATAGCCAAAAATGAGCAATAGAGTCTGATTCTGTGGGTTGGCGAATTATAATGTAATTTAATTTGTAGCCTTGCCAGATCTGTTATATGAAAGGTAGATTACTTACCAGGAAAGAGTAGGATGGTGAGAACTGGAAATGGGGACATTTGGATTGGTTTGATTGACTCTAGGTAGTCTGACCCTCATACCGCTGAGCCTCCTTTGCCAGAAGCCTTGGCAGAAACCTGAAAGATATGCAAGGCAATGTATCCCAAGGTCCATTCTGTGAATCCACATTTTCTCTCTTAGTGCTTAAAAGGTTTAATGAGTATCTTACAAGTTTTCTGTTGTCCAGGGATTTCTGATTAGGAAGTTTATGGTTGTGGAAGTTTACTAAACTGGCTTGAGCTTAATTCCATTAAGTGTATGAAACTCTGCTTTCTGTGAAGCTTCCTGGCGGCAGTAATTAGAATGCTTTCTCTATATACCCAAATGCAAGTTTTGGGCCCCTGATATCACAGGGATTTGGTTTAAAAATGTAAATCACCCAGTAGATTGTCACTTGAGCTGCTGAGAGTAGTAATACTTGTGAAGCAAAAGAAGACCCATACAATTTGTAGAATTATTCCTTTAACCAAACATATATATATATATGTATATGACAGTTAATAATTCCTTTTCTTCCCCTCCAGGAGACAGAAAGTAATTAAAGTGTCAAGGGAGTCATATTAAATTTCAAATTTCTAGTAGTTTCCTATTAGAACATCTATTGTTATGTCCTGAGAACACAGATCATAAGTTCCATCCTGGTGCACGATGGAGGCTTGTACTTTCCTTGGGTTGCTCTGTGTGTCTACATGCTTGCCTCATCCTGCATTCGCTCAAGCGTTCAACAAATACTGATGGAATGCCTTCTGCAGAGCAAGATCTTATGGCACTACTTAAAGGGACTTAAAGCCAGTTTTATTTTACAATGATAAATAGCTTCCCTGAAGAGTGGCAGATTATAAACTGTTCATTTTAACTCCGTGAAACTGAGGGAGCGAAGTAACTCCTCATTCCTTCCATCCACCCACCCTGCCCCACTCCGCCCCACCCCCAGGAGCATCTTTCTGTCTGTCTCTTCAACAGACAGTGACGGAAGAGAAAATAAAGGGTAGTTACAGGTATATGTGCTTCTTATGCTTATACCATATTAGATTCTTCAAATATTTTATCTAGTTTGGTCCTCATAACTTTGGAAGAGGCCTCTTATTCCCATTTTAGAGATAAGAAAACAGAGACTCCAGTTAAATAAATGACCCAAGGTCACACAGGTAGTAAGTAGCCTTGGGATTTAGGAACCAGGTCTACGCTTTCCTTTATCTGATGCAGTCTTTGTTATGGTCACTTTCTCACAGGAAGAAAGTGAAGGTACTTTAGTTTCTAGGAATGAGATGATTACTTTTATTTATTTTTTCTTAAGTCCACATACAAAGGTACATAGATTATTGCCTTTGTTCATTTAGAGCTCTCACATTTTTCTCAGTCATTGGGCTAATCTGTCTAAATAGGTTTGACCTCAGGAATCCAATAAAAATTTTTTACTTAAATGTTAAGTGCTTCCAGAGGTATTTCTTTTGTAATTGTAGTATTTAGGGAGAGAAACATGACCTGTTGTTTTAAATAGCTGAATTTTTCTTTAGCTTTCAAACCTCAGATCCAAGATCGCAATATTGCAAGAAATTCTTTGGCTGAGAATGAAACAAATCTTGTTAATTTGTGAAAGGAATTTTTCACATTTATTAGCAACTGTTCAGCTTTTTTGGTTTATTTTTTTTCTAACAAGGAAAGGCATATGTTACCAGAAGGTGGCACTCTGAGAGCATCATTTTGGTTTTGGGATTTAGGAGTACCGGAGTACTCCTCTATCCTTTCTTTATTGGATGAATTGCACATTTAAATTATGACCTGAGTCTTTGTCATGCTTCTTCTTACATGCGTTTTAAACAAATGTTTATTTAAACATAAAACTGTTAGGAAAGAAAATGTCTTTTTAAAATTGTCTCTTTGAAGAGAATAAAATGATATGTTACATACTTCATGTGAACCTGTTTTATTGAGAAAACAGGTATTAATGATAATTATATTATTTGATTAAATTGCTGTGTTTCCAAGTTACATTGTTAAAATTCAAAACAAAGCAGAAAAGTGTAACTTCTCTTTCAGCTGCATTCCAAGTATATTAACAAAAACATTTTAGAGAGTCCTGCAGGAGTATAAAATTTCTGTATAGAACAATTTACAACTGACATTTTTGGTTGATCTCTTAGTTATGGCTGAGTGCCACAAGTAAGCTAAATAAGTTAATCTTGAAATTCCATATTCAATTTTTTTAACAACCTTCTCTTAATATCTATAAATTTTCTACAATGCCCTGGTACTTATATTAATAAATATACTAGCGTCTTCTCACTATTATTTGGTCCGGCGGTTAATATATCCAATGTGTTTTAGCCCTTTTTCTAACATATTGATGCTTACTTAGTAAAGAACTTTTATTATTTGTCATTGTTGTCAGTGGTGATCCCTGAGTTTGGAATTAAAAGACCAAGACTAGACCTAGATGATATCAATCAGGTGTTAAAGAAAAAGAAGTAAAAAGAATTTTATTTCAACGATATCTAGATTGTATTTTAAAAATGTGTTCCTAAAGATTTTCATAAACCCAGTGGTTATTTATGCAGATATTTTGATAAATCAAGAAACTACTTACTCTTTAAAAATATCAGTTCTTAAGACCACCTTTTGGTTCTAATTCTTATTTTGCGTCCCACAGCATAAAAGAAAGCTCTTTTAAATACTTGACCGTGTTTGAAAAACTTTAAACCAAACAGCTCACAGTGGCACTTTTCTGTGATAAAGTGTTCCGAAATCCATGCCTTAACGGTAGAACAGTCTTAGCTTCTAGAGAGTTCAGGAAGAATATAGCTGGAACTTAAGTCCTTCAGCAAGCAGTGTTACAGTGTAGTGCCAAATACTTTTCATTGCAATGTAAGATTTTTATCAAAAACTCCTTTCTTCACCCCCAAATGCTTACATTTTTATCTACTGTTATAAAACAGGGATTGTGTTATTTTATTACTGATAACAATATCTGAAATAATGATGATTTATCATTTTAGAATACTTTTTCTCAAAGAATAAAAGACAAACATATCTCATACTGTTATTTTGTTTCTCCCATCCTTCCTGTGAGTCCCCTGTTCTTGCCCCAGCCCTGTGGATGGGTGCTCACCCTCCTACTCACCCTCCTTCCCACTTCCCTCCTCTACACCCTCCTCCCCTCCCCTCCCTTCCCTTCCTGTCTTCTTCTCTCACTCACGCTCATTTTTGGTTTCTCACACTTTCCAACTTAGAATGAGAAACTTGAGCATTATCACTATGGTTCAAGTCAACAGGACTCTTACTAATTAAAAAGGCTAGTTAGATCTAGAATATGCGAGACTACTTTTAAAAAATAAATATTCACTTAAATTTTGGTTAACCTTTGTTCAATTAAAAACATATAATCTCAGATATAATATGAATACAAATAAAGCTAGTACCTAATATTTTTGAGTTGGGTGTTTTTAATTTTTAGGACAGACGTGTTCTACAAGTTGTAACTATTGAGAGAATGCTGGAAAGGCTGAAAAAATCAAATGAACTTTTGGAACTCATTCTTAAAGGACTTAATGAATATTTGGAAAAGAAACGTCTTTTCTTCCCCAGATTCTTTTTCTTGTCTAATGATGAACTTCTTGAGATACTGTCTGAGACTAAAGATCCCACTAGGTAAGTAACTTACATATATAACACACAGCTAAATTTATCTGCTTAAATTTAATTTTTTAAAATAAGGCAGAATGTAAATGTGTATAATTATGTTCAAGAATATTCTAAATATTATCAGTAATCAATGTAATTATTAAAAACATAATATCATTGAAGGATATTTTTCCAAATGTGATGCATCTTGGGGGAGGATTTCATACTTTATTTTCTCTTACAGATTTTTCAGAGCACATTACTCTTATAGTGGCTTGCAATGACCCATGCAGGTGGTCTCTCATTATCCTTCCTATTTATCTCCCACTGTTTTCTTGTTCATTCTGTTATAGTCCTTCCAATTCCACTATAAAAGGGGCAGCCTCCTCCCTTGGTGTACTGTCCTCTTTGCATAAGATGCTCCTTATCTAAATATCCATGACTTCTTTTACCTCCTCTAGATTTTTGTGGAAACCTGCTCAAATGTCTGCCCCTCAGGAAGACTTTCCCTGACCGCTATATTTAATGGCAACTGTTCCAGCCCTTCCTAGCCACCTTTCCTGGATTATCTTCTCTGCCCTCTTTTCCTTTGGCATCTTTTTTTATCATCTGGGCATACTCTATAATGTACTTATTTGTTTACTGTCTGATTTCCTCTAGCAGAATATAAGCTTCATGATGGCTGAGATTTTTGACTTTTTTTTTTTCCAGTGCTGATTCCCAATTCCTTAGAAGAATGTGTATGTCTAGTATATAACAAACAGTGAATGGATATTTATTAAATTTGTTAGTTTTGTGCCTTGTGCCTTCAAAGTAGGAGACAAGTAATCCAGACAAAAAGATAAATTTAGGCTCAGATTTCCATCTGAATTTTTACATTCCGCTTCTTCATTGCCTATTGAAAGATGAGTTCAATTGGTTATTGGTAATGTGCCAAAAATGAGGGCTTCAGCCCCTCCCATCTATATTACAATGACTATAGTTGAAAACCTTCAAAGCAGTTGACTTAGCGAATTGTGAGGTATGTAAAGTGCTGAACTTAGTTCATGATTTGTAAGCAGTCTCTGAAGATCCCAGTTGAAAAAGCTAGTTTTGTGCATTTGAAGATTCTTCCAATTAGTGTATGATCTATTAGTCAAGATTGATTTGCTCCTTATGTTACTTTTAACATCTTTCAATTCATTGTGTTGGAAACAAAACCTCACGGGTGTCTCCTCTGTAGCTCTTATTATAATTATAGTTTGACAGATCTTTTTGTGATTATTCAATTAATGATGACCTCCTACTGGACTGTGTAACCCATACAGGCAGGGATCATGTCTTTTGTTCCCCCTCAGTGTTTCATCCCTAGCAGCACTGAGTAGGGGCCTAACACATAATGCACATTTATAAATTGTGGATGAAGATTGGTATACAAAGAACACTGAGAGTTAAGGAATTGCTTTGATCAATTCTATTAAACATTTTTCCCCTGACAGGGTGCAACCTCACTTGAAGAAATGTTTTGAAGGAATTGCAAAAGTAGAATTTACAGAAATGTTAGACATTACTCACATGAAGAGTAGTGAAGGAGAGGTTGTGGAACTCACAGAGACCATTTCAACGGCCAAAGCCAGAGGTCAAGTGGAGAAGTGGTTGGTTGAATTAGAGAGAGTCATGATTAAATCCATCCACAAGGTACTTGGCTGTGTTTATCATTATTTCTAGTAAAGATTGAGAATATTAATGTATCTTTGGGGGCATCTGTGTCTCAGTTGGCAAAGTGTGTGACTCTGGCTCTCGGGGACCTGAGTTTGAGCCCCATGTTGGGGGTAGAGATTATATAAAAAATGTATTGTTAATAAATGCACTGTTTTCTTTAGACAGAAACTGAGTCATGAATTACCAGTTCAATTGTAACAGGTGGCTTAAAGACAAATATATGGTCTATGAAATTAATTTCCTGGGGACTCACTTGAAAAGTGGGACAAAATACCATTGATACTATAGAAAACTTGGGTTTTAGTCCTAAGTCCCATTTTTTGCAGCCACATGCTAGTTCTTTCATCATTAATTAAACACACCTTGTTCTACAGAGTCTGTGTTTAGTCTTGCCTTGGATGCATCTCTCTACAGTTTCACATCAATCTCTTTGACATGTATGTTTCTATAATGAATCTTTTTGTTCCGTGTATATACAAAAAATATACCAAAATGTTAGAAAATCACAAATACTTCCTATAACAGTCACTTCATATTTTCCATATCTCATAAAACATCAACTTAGTCGTTCGTAATTATATTTTTTAGTAGAAAATTTCAAGTCATGGCAACAAATACAGATTAACTGAGCACTTAAATTCATTTTTTCACTATAATGTGGACTTAGCATTCAAGTTCTTCATCAAGAATAAAATCATGATTGAGTTGGGGATCAGGAGAGCAGGAATGAGAAGGAAATATGGCATGATGTCCTAATCAACAACAGTTTTCATTGATTTTTCAGATTCTCTCACACATTATTAAAAAAATTCCTTAGAATCTAAATGTTCAGTGGATATCATGTGTCTGAGTGCTTTCTCTTCTTAAATATAGTTTTAATATCTGCCTTCATAATAGTTTTTAAGTAGATGTAAAGTTATTTGGACAGTTTTTCATTTCTCCCTACAGTGGATTAAATATCCATATAGATATAGCTGGTTTCTTTGATTGAATTATTTCTTATGATAACTTCTTATTTATAGGATCACTAGGTCAAAAAGATGAGATTTCATAGGCCTTGAAACATATTGACAAATAAGATTCCCATTTATGTAGTTGTAAGCAATGTAAATGAATCCACTTTGACCACTACTTAGCAGCCTTGGATATATGGTTTGTTAATTGATATATACAGTGATAACTCATTGTTTTAGACCTGTCTAATACTATTACAACTATTTTTAAATTTTTTTTTTTGTCAAAGTGCTTAGAGAAGGTATTTTGGTTGCCATTTCAGAGTGTTTAGATGGAATGGCAAGGAATTGTGTAGGAAATATCTTCCCCAAATGTTTATGCGTAAGTTTGTGTTACTGAAATGTGTTACTCAAATGCAATATAAAGTACTACAAATAGAAATATGTGTGTTGCTATGTTTTACTGTATGCATTTGTATGCTCGAAAGGCTATTGCGTGCTTAAGTGAATTTGGGGTCATTTGTAAATAATAAAAAAGTCATGTTCTTGGCATGTTTGCCCCTTTATCTTACTAGATTATCATGTGTATGTCACTTCCAAAATTTATATATCTATATATACACATATATTTACATATGGCACACATAGATCTATTTTACATACAATAATAAACAACTTTTCATAATCATATTTCTCCTCATCCAACTATGTAGAAATTGTGATTTAGATTTTAATGTCTTCCTCTTGTTCTTTCCACACTGTCCTTCTAGAACATGTATTTACTCCATCCTGACATTTTGTCCAGTATCTTCTATTTTCTGTGTTCCTCCCATCTCTCAGTTGCTCATTTTCACCTGCCCTTTCTGTGGCTCCTTCTGGCCTTTGAAATTTCCTTTGTTATCAATAGCCAACACTGCCCTTCATCTCTGTTCAGCTCCATAAATATCTAGTAGACTAGAAATCCAGAAAGGTTCATACATCCTTTATGTATTTCTCAGAAAAATCTAATTTTGACAGTCTTTTCTGAAATCAAACATTAAAGTGGGTATCACCTCACAGGCAACATTACTATTTTCGTTGATACATATAAAAGATTAGAATGTTTCTCACTGATGGCTGGTGGAAAAAGTGGATATGTCAATCCACTGAAAATGTATGCAGGAGAAGTACATGAATTTGACATAAAACATGTAGCAAAGAGCATAAATAAGACTTCCTGACTTTCCTGGTACTCAACTCTCCATAAATGAATTATACACTTGTGCTTGTCATCATTGCCTTGGGCATCTATCTACAGACTGAGAAGAAGTGAACTCTGGAAACACAGGAGGAACTTGAGAGGAGTTGTGTGGTTTGCCTGAGTGTGCATGTGTACATGAGCCCATGGCTGAATGGGGATCTGATGAAGTTCAAAGAAAATTATTGTCTATGGATTTGACAGATCTCATTTTGGAATGGCTTAAATGTATTTCACAATAAAATTGCTTGTGCTTGATCCATCTAAATGTATGTAGGATATCTGTGGCTAGAACTGGTCAAATGAATATTTGATGTAATGTGGTTCACACAAATTGATCACGTATCAACAAAATAAAATGCTATGTATTTTTTCGCTCACAGGCATATGGATAAACTTGAATTTAAATAGTCTCACCAATGCTTTGAGTCTTCATAATTGGCTAAGATGTAAAAAGTTGAACAGTATGAATTAATCTGTTTAGGAGGTTAGCTCCTCATTGTATAGCTCATTCAAGTAAACTGTGAAACAATCTTTAGCATTTTTTTTCCAATTAGGTAATCAGAGCTGCATTGCTTGCCTATACACAAAATATGCGAATTAACTGGGTGAGAGATTGGCCAGGACAGACAGTGCTCTGTGTATCTCAAATCTTTTGGACGATGGAAGTACAAACAGCTATTTCAACGGGACAAGAGGTAAGCTTTATTACCCCCAGGTTTTTCAGCATTTTTTCAACTAGTACTATTGCTGGAATACACTAATTATAAAAAACAAAATAAAGACAATCCTCTTAAAACCCTTAAAAGGGTACTTGAGTCTCAATCCTGTTATTACATACATTTTTGTACCTTTAAAAATAGAATGGTAATAGAACTAAGAAACTTCCTAAAGTCAGAAAGATTAGAAGGAAAAATAACATAACTTTCTTTTATGCCTTGAGTAAAACCACCCTATGAAGACAAGATATTGGTTGAATTATTTTGACTATTTTCATTTTTATTCTTAATGCATTGATTTTAAATAATAATTATTGATATTTTGAGTGATGCTTAATTTTAAATATTGTAATATATTAGGCATACTAATTTAATAATATTAATTGGATTGCTGTTAATAATTAACAACAGAAACCATATTTAATACAACATTCTTATCCTTGAGATAGGAATACAAGTTGACCGATGCACCAATTGGAATGTAGTAGTCATAGTTCTTTTGTTTAAAATCATGAATTTTTTTTTTTAAAGATTTTATTTATTTATTTGAGAGAGAGAATGAGATAGAGAGAGAGCATGAGAGGGGGGAGGGTCAGAGGGAGAAGCAGACTCCCTGCCGAGCAGGGAGCCCGATGTGGACTCGATCCTGGGACTCCAGGATTATGACCTGAGCCGAAGGCAGTCGCTTAACCAACTGAGCCACCCAGGCGCCCTAAAATCATGAATTTTAAATATATTTTTGACATGGAGTTTGGTATTATTGTCTTTAAGGTACTGTTGAATGCTGATAGTGTTGAGGTTTGAGAGAGACTAATGTTCTCTGTAAGCAGGCAGATCCCATAGAGAAAGGAGCTGAGTGACACATGCTTAGTTCTGCCAAACTTACCAACGGGTCATTTATTTCTTTCCTATGGAAAGGAATGAGGGTATAGGGCAGGAAGTCAGGGTTTTCCCAGAAAAAGTCTGTCTTCCTGGAACACAGGGCATGGGGGAATAGGGGTTTCCCTCACAGCAGTAAGTTTACTTCTGGGCTCTTGGCTTCTAGCCCTATACGCATTTTTCTTTTTGTTCAGTGGGTCTAGAGAATTTTCTTCTCTCTTTACTTTTAAGCTACCACTCGTCAACCTCCCCACACAGGAGTTTCCTCCATCACCAATGTAGGCTACTGGGGCAACATGTAGCTTCCTGGGTCTCCCTCCTTGCTTGCTGGTAAGCTCCCCAAACCACGATACCAACTTTATCACTCACCACTGGCGACATAGTCTGCAGGGAACAAAGAAGCAAATGTGAGCAGATTAGACAAATTTGTAAGCACCTTCCAAATTTCTTCAGTTTAAATGTGGTGTTTATCAAACCTCTACTCCTCTGTCAAGTCTTTGGTCTCACTCCAAGCAAGCTGCAAACAGTAGGAGTGGACATCTAGCATTAAATGTAAACTATATCTTTTTCATGCTTCCAGTTATCTCCCAAGCATAATTTGAATCTTGAGCGACATGCAATTTAGGTCACTCCCATGTCAGTGTGTCCTCTGCTCAAAACTATCTGCCTGGAGTTCTTACCATATTGCATACAGATAAAAGAGGGGTTTTGTTTTGTTTACAGCAGTATCCACTGATACTGAGATTGAGTTATTTATTGACTCATTTATCAGTCTATTCAGTTTTTTTTTTCTGCTCATGTTATATGCTGCAGGTATGGAGCCATTCACAGAGAAAGGCAAAATGAGAACCCATGCTACTTGAGGGTGATTCAGTGTCATAGACTCAAAGTCCTCTAAAACCGTAGCTTAGCAAGACTTAGCAAGTTATACCTCTGTTATTGTTGCTTGCCAGACTGCACTCTTCTGTTGCATTTTATGGTGCTGTCATAGCTAAGTTTCATGATATGAAATTAAGCTTTGTATGTGTCCTTAAAAATAAATTCTTATTCATCTGCTTGCGACTGCCCTGTTTCATTATGCCCTTGATCCCTATCTGTGCACCTTGTGCCTGTTTGTCTTTCATCCATGTTTAGGCCATTCAAGTTCTGTAGCAGCATTATGAGAGGCTAGCGCGTGTTTTAGTATTCTATAGCACTGATGGTGTTTTAAAAATTTAACGTGTAGTTTTATCACGGGAGGCTAGCATATGTTTTAGTATTGTATGTGTTGATCATTTTTTCCCCGAATGAATGTGTGGTTCACTTTTGAAGATGACCTTGGTGGAGCAGCAGAAGACTCTTGTCTAGTTCCACAATCAAGAGCTAGATGTTACAAAAGTCTTATATGTTATACTGTCATGCTCCCAGGAGACCTGTTCGATTTATTTATTCAACGAATGGTGACTGTGGAACTAGTCTGCATGAGGCATTTACAGGGACTGTAAAATGAATGAAAGAATCACTGCTATCACAGAGCTCAGGTTATTGCAAATATTGATGTGATTTTCAGTCATTGTATCATTACATATGTAGAAGGATCTAGGTATGATAAAAATATTAGGTTTCAGATAGGGTTTATTTTGGCAGAATATAATAGTAGTTACCTTTTAGATTCATTAGCTCACTGTGCAGAATGGTTTACAAGGAAGAAAATGTAACAAAAATGCGATCAATATCATGATTTTTTTCCCTATCTCTCTAATATGAATTATCATTGATTCATATAATATTGTTCCTAAAGAACTCAGTTTATCACAGTTTGAAGTTAAATTTTCGCTCTAAATCTGCTTTCCTAGTATAGGAAAAAAACATTCTGCTACTGTGGTGTAGTAATAAATTCTTATGGACATATAATTTGTACTGTCAGGTCTAAACATTAAATTTTTATTTTATGTTTTTGTTGAACTATAGTAAGGCTCACATGATCCTCACTTTTACTGATGAGAAAACTGAGATGCACCCACTGGTGTGGCTTATGTTCTTAGGATCAAACTGGTTCTTACTAATTTATATGTTTAACATACTTAAATTCACTAATTGGCTCCAAGAATTTAAACACTTATGTCTATTGAAACATGGGTGGGACAGAAGTTTATCTTTCACTGCTTACGAAGAGAATTGATAGCAACCGATCATGTAAATAATATGAAGGCAACAGTGTTCAAACACCAAACCTTTGAAAAAATGACCTCCTTAAAAATAAAGATAAAATTGTTCAAGCACTAAGGAAAGTCCCCGTTAGAGAAACAGTTTGCAGTCTCCAGCCCCGTCCTTTAAACTTTTTCTCATTCTTGGAAATGCTCCCTTGTAGTTACATCACTACCTGTTACCTGGTCCTGAAGGAATGAATGCACTCCTTGGTGCCCAGTGTTTATTAAATATTATTAGAGTGGAGAACAGCAACCACAGCAGCCTGCTGGAGCATACTGACCCTTCCCTCAAGCATAGCGGTTCTCATTGATTCTAACTTGATTTTCATCATAAACCCTCTTCTCTTTTTTGACTTACTAATTAGATTTACCCCCACCAAAAAAACCGATCGCAAAGCAAGCCTGGTGCTCAGAACTGGCACTGCTCACCAGCTCAGGGAGCTTACACAGCCATCCTGAAAGGACTGGTGGAATGCAAGGCAGCTGGAATCCGGGGTCTCAGGGCATCGGTGCTGCGGCAGCTTCTCTTGCGTCGTCCTTCCCCTCGGCTTGTCTCTGGCGGGCTTGGTTCCGCAGTGGGGATGAAGGCTTGCAGTGTCTTATATGTTATACTGTCATGCTCCCAGGAGACCTGTTCAATTTCTTTATTTATCGGCACACTCTGAATCCACCAAAGCTAGTGAGAGGCGCTTCATTCCCTCTGCTCGTATAGCAATTCCTGGGAAGAACCATGATTGGCTCTGGTTGGGTCACACCTCCTCCCACCCCTTGTTGCCACGGAGATGGGGCAAGGTGATGGACAGCTCACCAGAACCACAGAGCAGACAGAAGGAGTGGAAATAGGAATGGAAAGGATGGTGAGTAGACCACACGTAGCAACCACGTGTGTCCAGTGCATCTGGCCAGACTGGCCTTGCTCACCTAATACTTTCGTAGTAAGAAAAACCGATTATTTTTAAATCATGTCATATGGAAAAAAATGTACAGAAACACTCTGTATTCAGACTAGCGCAAAATGTTTTTGTTCAGAAAAATTCTGATCACATTATTTATATCTTATTTTCTTTCAGGCTCTTGAGCAATACTTGGAAAAATGTAACATGCAAATTGATGATATTGTGACTTTGGTCCGTGGCAAATTGTCCAAGCAGAATCGTGTTACTCTGGGAGCCCTTGTGGTGCTGGATGTCCATGCTAGGGATGTCCTCGCATCACTTGTGAAAAAAAAAGTTAGTGATGACTCTGACTTCGAGTGGTTAAGTCAGCTTAGGTACTATTGGCAAGTAAGTGATATCACTGAATGTTATTACATGGCAATTTCAGCTCATAGCTTTTTAATTTGTGCTTGCTTGCTCGCATGGGAAATAGTATGAGTAATATAGGATTTTTTGCTGATGGCTGACTGTACCCAAACAAGCATTCTCCAGACTGAAGATTAAGGCAGCCAAATACTATATATCATCTGTATGAAAAACTGTATCTTTATCTATATCCAAATCCATGCTCAAATGTATAGTTACATATAAATACATATTCATATAGAGACACTCACAAATTGAGTAATTATAAAAAGTTATTCATTTTAAATGAGTCATTATGCTTGCTGAATCTGTAAAATGTCTGAACTAAGCAGCTTAAAATTGTGTTTTTAGATTTTTGATACATCTAAAGAATATAAAAAAAAATCAGACTTTTATTGTGATTTCATCATGAAAGTTTCCTCTTGTTGATCAATTGAAAGAACTGGAAACATGATCTGGAAGGAAGGCTCTTATGGGGACACCTGGATGGGTGGTGATGGCAGTCACACCTGGGAAGGCAGGAGGAGTAGAAATAGTACAGTGGACAAGGTGGGGCCAGTTGAGAGTGGGAGGAAGTTGCTGAGGATATCTGGAGATACGGACTCAAAAATTCTTAACAGATTCACTTCTGTGAAAGGCTTAAAGGTATGGAGTGGGAGGAGAAAAGATAAGAACCAGACCCCTGGAAAACCACAGGAGAGGTAGTGGATAGTGGAATCATTTCAAATGCCAGACCCTTCCCTTACCAGATGTATGACCTGGGCAAGTTACTTATTGTCTGTAAGCATCCGTTTTCTTATCTGTAAAATGGCAATAAGATAATACCCACTCTGTAGTGAAAATGAATCGAACAATTAATTATAAATATAGGAGAATAATGAACTATCAGAGAAATTTTAAAAAACAGTCCCCACTTATATCAAAAAGAATAAAATACCTAAAAACAAACTTAACCAAGGTGGTGAAAGACTTGCACACTGAAAACTCTAAGACATTGGTGAAGGAAATGGAAGGAAATTGCCAAATAAATGGCAAGATACTTTGTTCTTGTGGATTGGAAAATTAATGTTGTAAAAAGTTCCTACTACCCAAAGCAATCTACAGATTCAATGTAATCCCTGTCAAAATTCCAATGGCATTTTTCACAGAAATAAAACAAACAGTCCTAAAATTTGTATGCAGCCATAAAAGATACCAGATAGCCAAAGTAGTCTTGAAAAAGAGCAACAAAGCTGGAGGCATCATGCTCCCCGATTTCAAATTATATTACAAAGCTAGAGTAATCAAAACAGAATGGTATTGGCATAAAAACAGACACATGGATCAATGGAACAGAACAGAGAGCTCAGAAGTACACCCAAGCGTATATGCCAAATAACTTATGACAAAGGAGCCAAGAATATACAATGGAGAAAGGAAAGTCTCTTCAATAAATAGTGTTGGGAAAACTGAATGGCCACATAGGAAATACTGAAACTGGGCCACTGTCTTACAGAATACACAACAATTAACTCAAAATGGATTAAAGACAGGAATGTAAGACCTGAAACATAAAACTCCTAGAAGAAAACATAGATGTTAAGCCCCTTAACTCAGTCTTGGCAATGACTTTTTTTTTTTTTTTTTTGATTTGGCAACAAAAGCAAAAATAAACAAGTGGGACTACATCAAACTAAAAAGTGCTACACGGCAAAGAAAACCATCAACAAAATGAAAAGGCAACTTCCTGAGTGGAAGAAAATACTTGCAAATCATATCTGATAAGGGGTAAAGCTCTAAAATATATAAAGAACTCCTACAACTCTATAGCAAAAACACAAACTACCTGTTTTGAAAATGGTCAAAGAATCTGAATAGACATTATTCCAAAGAAGACATACAATGGCTAACAGGTTCATGAAAAGATGCTCATCATCACTCATCATCAGGGAAATACAAATCAAAGCCACAATGAGAGATCCTCTCACACCTATTAGGATGGGCATTATCAAGAGACAAAAGATAACAAATGCTGATAAGGGTGTGGAAAAATGGGACCCATTGTGCACTGTTGGTGGGAATGTAAATTGGTGCAGCCAGTATGGAAAACATGAGGCAGTCTCCTCAAAAAAATAAAAAAATAGAACTATCATATGACCCAACAATTCCACTTCTGGGTATTATCTGAAGAAAACAAAAATACTCAAAAAGGTATATGCACCCCCATGTTTATTGCAGCATTATTTACAATAACTAAGTTATAGCAACAACCTGAATGTTAATTGACAGGTGAATGAATGAAGAAGATGTGGTGTATATATATGAATGGAATATTATTCAGTCATTAAAAAATGAAATCTTGCCATTTGTAACAATATGGATTGACCCTGAGGGCATTACACTAAGTGAAATAAGTCAGACAAAGACAAATACAATATGATCTCACTTATATATAAGTGCACCTAAAACAAACCAAGCTCATAGATACAGTGAGCAGATTGGTGGTTGCCAGAGGCTGAGAGTGGGAAGGGGGGAGAAATGGGTGAAGGGAGTAAAAAGGTGTAAACTTCTAGTTATAAATAAGTAATGGGGATGTAATACACTGTATGTTGACTATAGTTAATAATACCATATTGCATTTTTAAAGTTGCTAAGACTAAATCTTAAAATTCTCATTATAGGAAAACTGTACTTATATATGATGATAGATCTTACCTAGACTTACTGTGATTATTTTATAATATACACAAATATTGAGTAATTATGTTTATACTTGAAATTAATATTATATGTCAATTATACCTTAATAAAAAAAAGCCTTAGCAATTAAAAAGAAAAGAAAATACAGGAGAGATAAGGAACAAATATATTTTCCACAGATACCTATGGAAAAAATTGAAGCCAGTGACTTCAGACTTATCTGAGGAAATTAGATATTGAATTCTTCTACTGAATTTAATGATGTCTGAAAAGTGGAATTTTTTTAAGGATTTTTTATTTATTCATTTGAGAGAGAGTGAGAGCACTAGCTGGGGGGGGGGAGGGGGGCAGAGGGAGAGGGAGAAGCAGGCTCCCCGCTGAGGAGGGAGCCTGACCCTGGGCTATATCCCAGGACTCTGGGATCATGACCCGAGCCGAAGGCAGACGCTTAACTGACAGCCACCCAGGTGCCCCTGAAAAGTGAATTTTAAAAGATGTTGTTTATAACTTGACAATTATTTATTAAGGAATTTGAGATTTCATATTATTTAAAATTTTGTTATTTAAGTTAACTTCATTTTCTCTGATTTGTCCTAGGAGAATAATTTAGAAACAAAGATGATCAATGCTGGCTTACGATATGGATATGAGTATCTGGGTAATTCCCCTCGGTTGGTTATTACTCCACTCACGGATCGATGTTACAGGTAAACTCACTAATTTATGGGTCTATTGGAAATAAATTTCACCCCTAGACCCCTAAATTTCACCTAAATCTTTAAAAGAAACAGATTATCTTCCACTTGGTAAATGTATCCTATGTTATCTTTTCCTAGACTCTTAATACTTTTCTCAACATGACCTTCAATTTCTCTTTCCCTGCTGGCTTTCTCCTCTTAGCTCTGGAGCTAAGTATTGCCTGATATTGCTATTGTTGTTTACATTGTTCATTTCTTCTTTCTTCTTGAAACTTTCTCTTTGTTTTTGATCCTTTGAGGCAACCTACAGCTTCCCCTGAAACACAGAAATTTCTAGATTTCTGTTTTCATGTGGTGCTTTGTCTCATGCTTCACAGTTTCCCAAATGATCTCACCCACTTTCAGGCTTTAATAGCCTACATTCTGAAGATCCACAAGTCCGTATCTCTAGCCAAGGTCTCTCCTGTAAACTTGTGCTACATGCTTGCTGGATATCTCCATTAAGTAACTCGTAGGTGTTTACATTGAAATTTTTTTTCTATCATGCTTCTGAATAATAAAAGGGTTTTAACAACTTTAATGCAAGTTTCCATCTCCCATATTCCAAATTATTGTCAAAATCTAAATTAAAGTGTTATTTTTTTCAGGTATTAGAAGTCCATTTAGGTCTTATATCAAAGCTAACATCTTTCATCCACTTTAAAATTCCCTTTCTCTCCCAGCTTGAGCTTGACACAACCTCCAGGCCTTTATTTGGGGAGGCAAATGTGGTCAATGGTTTTGTCAGTTTTATCCCTGTCCTTTGCATTATTCTCTCCATTGCTCATCCATGGCTCCTCCAGTCTTGGGGGTTAATGGAGGAAGGGAGAAAGAAAGGGACAGGTGGGTTCATGTGTGACAACTGTCTTGTGTGGCTACTATCTCTTGGCTGTTTAGTGTTCTCAATGAGGGCACAAGCCTATATGTGCCAGATCTCCCATGGGATATTTATGTGGGTTTTTTGGAAACCCTCCCCCGCCAGTCACCTGTGGAAAATGCCTTCTCTGGCTGCCTGCTGGTGACTTTTGCTTCAGCCTCTGTCTGAGGTCAGCCACACATGGACGCTCACCTTGGTGTCTTCTCCAATGCTAGGTGGGCCTCCTGCACAGAATTCCATTCAACGTGACTCAAATCTAGCTTCCTTCAGGTGGGATCTAGATCTGGTCAGATGATATACATTTATTTTGCCAATAGTATGAGTACATCTCTCTCACTGTCACCATTTTCCCCAGCTCTGCCATCAGGAATAGCTACAGGCATTCTCTTGACTTTAAATATTTTAAGTTGTGATTGAATTCCCAGTTCCTGTGTTACACAAATTCCAGGGGTCAGACAGTGTGCCAAGCTCTCTGAATAGTTCTCTAAAGCCCCACAGGTAGTTTGGGAGAGGGGCAAGTGCTTTATTATTCTCTACAGAGGGACGGGAAATAAACAACACACTAACAGCTCTTTCCAAAGATCTTTACTCTTGACCCCTCTTTTACAAGCTTCCTAGCCAAATTCTATATGCCCTGGTGCTAGGTGGCCAATTTTACTATCTGTAAGATAAGATTATCTGGCATAGATTGCTCTATTGATATTCTGTTACATATTTTTTATATCTAATATTTATATACATTTACCAAAAACTTTATCATTGTCTTAACTCACAATTGCTTCTTCCTTTGCCTTCTTTCTGATTTCATTTTCTTCTTACTAGGCAACATCCTTCAGTAATTGTTTCAGTGAGGCTCTGCAAGTAGTGAGCTCTATCAGTCTTTGTTTTTAAACAAAATTTGGTCTTCATTCAATTATTAAATGATAGGATAGCTAGGTATACAACTGTAAGTGAACCATAATTTCCCCTCAGCTCTCCAAAAATATTATTCTCCTGGCATTCATTGCCACTACTGAGTAGACTGTTATTATGTTTCCTTTGTAGGTAATTTTTTTCTATCATGTTTTTTAAGATTTTCTCTTTATTGTTGATGTTCACTGTAATGCTACTGTATGTGGATGAGTTTTTATTTATCCCACTTGAGACTTTTCAGTTCATATCTTTCTTCATTTCTGGCAAATTCTCAGCTATTGCTTTTTATTTATTATTTGGGGGGGAGTGAGGAGGGGAAGGGTAGAGGGAGATGGAGAAAGAGAATCTTAAGCAGGCTCCATGCTCAGCAAGTAGACCCTGAGATCATGACCTGAGCTGAAACCAAGAGTTGGATGCTTAACCTACTGAGCCACCCAGGGGCCCCACAGCCATTGCTTTTTAAATTTTGCCTTTTTCCCCATTCTCTTCCTTTTTTTTCTTTGTCTCTCAACTTTTCTTATATTCCATCTTGGTATCTTCTTGGATGATTTCCTCATATTTATCTTGTAGTGCATAATTCTCTTTATGTTTAATCTGCCATTTAATCTGGTATCATTTTAAAAAATCCAATAACTATATTTTTTATTGCTAGATTTCAAGTTGTCTCTTTTATGAAACTGACTTTTTCTCATAATTTTATGTCTCTTGCTTTTTTTTTTTTTAAGATTTCTTTATTTATTTTAGAGAAATAAAGAGTGGGTGGGGGAGGGACAGAGGGAGAGAGAGAGAGAGAGAGAGGAACTCAAGCAGGTTCTGCACTGAGTGTGGAGCCTGATGCGGAGCTCAATCTCACAACCCCGAGGTCTGACCTGAGCCGAAACCAAGAGTTGGACGCTTAACCAACTGTATCACCCAGGTGCCCCGTCTATTCCTTTTTATTTAAAATCTCATTAAATAAATCATCAGGATACCAGAGTACCAAGTATATAGTAATTCTCTCGCACCTTTGTCCATCTGCCACTGCAAGTCTGACTCTTAACTTTGATCTTTCTCTCTCTCTCTGGTTTTAATTATGAGCTCATTTTAGTAAGGGTTGTTTCCCCATGCAGTCTTACATTTTTTCAGCTGTGGAGGTGTCCATGTGGAACAGTTTCACATTTATCTCTTAAAAGGGCTCTAGGGTTTTCTCTGGTCCAAAACAAAATTTCACTGTTAATTTCTCAGTTTGGGTTCATGTGCCCATGGATAATGGAAATTTGGACCCTACCCCCATGAAGCTTTCCACTGGGTGCTGCAATGAAGGGTAAGCTTCCTATCTCCTCTGTAGTTGATCTTTCTTTGTCTTTCTCGATAGGTTGCTAGAGTAATTTTAGTTTAGAGATAAGTCAGCTTTTCAAGGCTTCTAAGTTTGTATAAGTGAATGCATTCCAGCTCTTCACCTTACGCAGTATAAGAATTTTTCTGTTTCGGGGAGCCTATGTGGTACAGTTGGCTAAGCGTCCATCTCTTGGTTTTGGTTCAGGTCGTGATCACAGGGTCATGAGATTGAGCCTCACATCGGGCTCCGGGCTCAGCATGGAGTCTACTTAAGACCTTCTCTCTGTCTCCCTCTGCTCCCTGCCCCTCCTCGCTAGATCTCTCTCTCAAATAAAAAAATCTAAAAAAAAAATTTTTTTTCTGTTTCTCTGTGGTTGTAAATACACTTGTGTTTGTATGCAGATCCCAAAAACAGTATGTACCTCTATAGCTTTAGCACCTAATTACTGACATCTTTGCATTCCCTCTTCATTGGTGATTTCCTTTCCATTCTTTCAAAAATGGCTATGTATTTCGAAAGTTACTTTTTTTTTTAATGTAGCATTTCTGAATGTTTGCAGTTAGGGGGATTGGGTGGTTCAGCATCAGCTGAATTCTCTGTATTGACGAGAGTCAGCCCTGAATTTCAAGTGTGTTTGTTCTGATTCTGTCACATATAATCAGCTCTTCAGGAATGAAATATAATAACAGATAAAGTAATGCACAGTCAGAGATTTTTCAGAGGTTCATGGGAAGGAAGAAATTATTGAAGAGGAAGTGGAAAAGTTGGCTCTCAGTTTAAACTTTTCCTCTTTTCATAATGTATATTAAAAATGACATTATTCTACAAAGATCGCTTATTTCTTATATTTCAGAACCTTGTTTGGAGCCCTTCACCTGCACCTTGGAGGAGCACCTGAAGGGCCAGCTGGCACTGGAAAGACTGAAACTACCAAAGATTTAGCAAAAGCAGTGGCCAAACAATGTGTTGTTTTCAACTGCTCTGATGGGTTGGATTATCTGGCTTTAGGAAAATTCTTTAAGGTTTGAATTGACTCACTTCTTTACAAAATAACTGCTCAGAGAGGAAAGCTATTTATAATGAAACATAATTTAATGCAAGTAAAAGACTTACTGTATTTTAAGTAAAATTAAAGTGCTATCTCCATTCTCCAGAGAAGTAGGGTTATTTCAAAAGCTTACTTAAGAAAGGAGCTTTACCTGTGTCTCCAGTCCCTGTTGTAATGGGTCACTATGGCTGATAGGAATGAGTGCTGTGCCTTCAGGATATTGGGGCAGCTAAAAATTTGAGAACCACTACATCATGTAAAGACCGTGCGGAATCTAAAGTCTTTAACCTGTAGCTCTTATTATTAACCAGTTATGATTCAGTAATTTACTTTCATAGATACACTCTAGTTAATCTTTTCTTGCAAACTTAAAATGCTTGTTTTTTTCTTATACTGAGTCAGATTCCCACTCTTAGGAGTCTGTAAGATTGCAAAAGGGGGAATTAAAAATGTAATATACCTGTCTATAAAGCTATAATGTCTGGTCATTTTAGTGCTTTGTTGCTACAGGCTGTTATTTTTTAAAATGTTAGCTGGAACAGTCGAACACAGAATTATCCATTTGGGATTATAGCTTCTGTTTATTTGTTAATGTCTATTTTTCTGTGAAGATTCTGTAATTCTTATCTTTAAAGATTCTGTAATTATTTTCCAACATTTCTTGAGAAAAGTTAACGTTTAAAAAGAAAACCAAACAAAACAAATATACCAGTCCTGCCCTATACAGTAAACTGTCCCTGCCTGATATATGGCAAGGTCATTTTATAACAGATTTGGAACTTAAAGAGTCTCTATATTTGTGATGCTGAAACAATTAGGGTAAGATTTTAAAAGTCAAAAATATAATAAATAACATATCAAGAAAACATTTGAATGACCAGTTACCATTTTAATCATACTCTGTAATGATATACAACCTTGTTGTAATGATTTTTTTAAGAAAGAGATAATAAGTCTAAAAGAGTCTCTGTGTAGTTTAGTTTGAATAGCCATTATATTCCTAAACATTTAAGGAAAAGTCTGGTATGTACTACTCAATTTTTGAATATATATAATGATTTTCTTAATTCCTTGATATAGATTCATACACTTTTGGTATCAAAGTTGCTTACTGATAAGTATTTATTGGTTATAAAGATACTTTGTTAGGATCATGCTGAATAATAGGGGTACAGAATAGAAAAGACCTGAGTCTTATTAATAACGTCACAATCCTTATAACTATTTGAATATGTGACTTCGTAAGTATTTTTTGGTTCTCTGTGGTTTCTAGCCCTCTTATGATATGTAGAAATAAAAGTCATAGTCTTCTCTAATGAAAATGTGCTATTCTTCAAAATGCACAGAGTTCACGTTTAATCCAGTGTGGTTCAGTAGATGGAACTGTGTACAAATCCAAGGTCAGCCGCTATTAGCTCTGTGGCCTTGTACTAATTAACATCTTGTAGGTATAGTCTTAGTTTCTTTGCATAAAAGATACATGCATCATGCCTGAAACATACCAGCTACTCAGTGAAACATACACACACACACATATATATACAATCTACAGAATATGCATTCAATAAATGTCAAATTGATTTTTTAAAAAATAAATTTGAATTTGGGGGCACCTGGGTGGCTCAGTCGTTAAGCATCTGCCTTCGGCTCAGGTCATGATCCCAGAGTCCTGGGATCAAGCCCCGCATCGGGCTCCCTGCTCGGCGGGAAGCCTGCTTCTCCCTCTCCCACTCCCCCTGCTTGTGTTCCCTCTCTCGCTGTGTCTCTATCAAATAAATAAAATCTTAAAAAATAAATAAATAAATAAATTTGAATTTGGACTGAGCTACTCAAGCCTGGTGGCCCAGTTTTCTCTAATGCCCAAATGGCACATATTTGTGAGGTAGCTGTGAGTTAGAAGTGTAAGCTAGAGCCTCAAACTATGTAGGTTGACTATTAAGGTGCTCAGACCACAAAATAGTCTCATTAGCAACAGAAGTCATCTTATTTAGAGAAATATTGCAATCTATTCTATGATGTTCATGTAGAAAAAGCAAACAAAATCAACTTGCACATAAAAAGTAAGAAAGGCTGTGAGATTACAGGTATACATCTAAATGCCAAAAGATACACACAAAGTAAAAAGCTATTGATCAAATGGACAATTTTCCAATTGATCAAACTCCTTATTCGTGCAGAATAATGAATTTCTAATAAAAAAAAATACACTGTCTTTAAAGATAAAGGTGAATAAGCAGTTTCCTTGATAGGATATTAAATCCTTGAAAATATCAGGTGAAAATGCAACATTTCAAAGCAATATTCAATCAGATAAAATTGAAAAATTTCATTACTCTTTTCTCCCAGGGACTGTTATCTTGTGGAGCCTGGGCTTGCTTTGATGAGTTTAACAGAATTGATTTGGAAGTACTGTCCGTGGTTGCTCAACAAATTCTTACTATCCAAAGAGGTAATGGACTGGTTTGTCTTTGCATTATGTCAAAACAGTAGAAATATAGGAGATAATGGATGGCACAAGTTGCATTTAAATGTGGAATTGCTGAGTCATTTCATTCTTGATGACCCACAGGTATTAATGCAGGTGTCGATACACTAGTGTTTGAAGGAACTGAGTTAAAACTTGACCCCACTTGCGCTGTCTTTATAACCATGAACCCAGGATATGCTGGGCGATCAGAGCTGCCGGATAATCTGAAGGTACAAAAGGGACAATTAGATTATCTGTTTCCTTTCTGTAGTTTACAAAGTTAATATGTAAAAAGAAAGAACATGCTCTCCTTGAATTTTATGCAAAATATTTGCTTTTGGACATTGTATTTTAGAAAACTGTTTTAGAAAATAATTTTTATTTATTGTTAAAGATTTTATTTATTCATTTGAGAGACAGAGACAGAGACAGAGCACAAGCAGAGGGGGGGCAGAGGGAGAGGGAGAAGCAGACTCCCCACTGAGCTGGGAGCCTGATGTAGGGCTCGATCCCAGGACCCCAAGATCATGAACTGAGCTGAAGGCAGATGCTTAACCGACTGAGCCACCCAGGTGCCTCTAGAAAATAACTTTTAAAGCTTTGAGTACCTTTAGAAAATGAATGTGCAAACTGGATGTAACTTCCAGACTGATATTTAATAACTGATAATTATAGAAAATTAGAAAATATAGGAAATACTGAAAAAGATACCCATTCTATTGCTTACTATATTGTATCCTTCAGTTTTAAATATCTTTTAAAAGGCAAATTTTAAATGGTAGAATCCAGCAGTTGTGTATGCTGGGTTGTTTTTTTCAGGTTAGTATTATAACATGAGCATTTTCCTATCTTTATAAACATAATCCAAACTGTAAATAAATTTACCGAACTCCATCTTACTATTGGACATTTGGATTGCTTTTAGTTTTCCTTCATTATAAATAATATTGCAATGGGCAGTTTTTACTTAAGGCTTTTGTCTATTTTAAAATATTTCCTTAAGTATGGTCATAGGACCGAGAGCTGTGTTGTTAAATTGCCTCCCAACAGAGGTTGAAATAATTCACAGCCCACATCAATTCTCAATTGTCCTTTATACCCAACACTATTTTTTTTTTTCCTGGTAAAAAGAGCAAAACACTTTGCTAATTGAATAGACTAGACTCTTTACTTAAAAAAACAAAACAAAAACTTGATTATGAGAGAAATAGGACATTTCCTCATATCTTGGGCATTTTATATACTTTTCTGATAAATTGCATTTGTGGCTAGAGCATAAAGAACAATGTTGAAGAATAATGCAGTGGTAACTGCAGATCCAAAACCAAGTCTTCTGACTCTCAGCCCTATAGTCCTTTCTGCTGTTCACATATTTAGACTGACAGCTTCTTAGACTAGTTGAGGAATTCTTCTTCACTGAAGAGACTTTCAATTCAAGTAATTGCTATGAAGTATTTTGGTATTTCCATTCCATGCACTTTTATGTATTAGATGAGATGTTTTAATACTTTGCCTAAGTGAAGGAAGGTATGATTAAAAAATAAAAACCGGTAAATCCTCTTATCTAAGAAACGTTTTGCAACTTTTCATTGTGATTTACGTTTGGAGAACTCTTTCTGTAGCAGTTCTTTTGTTCGCCCATGTTTTTCTTTTCTTCAGTAGGATCAGTCTGAATACATAGTATTTGTAAAGGCAAAAATCTGTGAATAGCTAATCATAAAAGACTGGGACTATTATAAAAAGTTCAGTCTTTTAATGCCCTGTGCAGACTGTGTCACAGTTTTATGTGCTGTGCATGTTGGAACAGTGTCAAAATATCCACCTTGTGGTTCTGTGGGTGATGGATTTTCCTTCTACTTCAGGCCAAAAACTGCTCTCAAATTCTGATAGCTTTGTTGTTGTTCTTCCTACTGTGCAGTCTTCTTGGTTACAATGGCTACAGAACATCTATTTTCAAGTATATGGAAATACCTAACAATTTTGAAAAAATGTCAGTCTGAAAAGAAAGAAATAGATCTTCCTTGAAAAAAAAAAAAAAGTTACTGAGGTCCAGAGAATGTCTTCAGAGTCATCCTCGAGACTTCCCTCTTTTTTTTTTTTTTTTTTTAGATTTTATTTATTTATTCATGAGAGACAGAGGGAGAGAGAGAGAGAGGCAGAGGGAGAAGCAGGCTCCCAAGGAGCAGGGAGTCTGATGCGGGACTCGATCCCAGGACCCTGGGATCATGACCTGAGCCGAAGGCAGACGCTTAACCATCTGAGCCACCTGGGCGCCCGAGACTTCCCTCTTCTTCACCCAGTGATTCAGCCAGTCACCAAAACCAGGCATCCTATTATACAAAAGCCTTATAATTCTTGTTGCTCTTGCTTGGTCCCACTGCTGCACCTTCCTTCCCTCCCTCCTCATTCTTCCCCTGTGTGTCTTACTGCAACAGCTCGCTTGTCACCAATCCCTTCTCCACTAAAATTCACTATAATTTATTCCCCATTATAATTCTACCAGTGTCTTCAGAAGAAATCTAATCCTGTAACTTCCAGACCTAAAAAGCTATTGGGTTTTGTTTTTGTTGTTGTTGTTGTTTTGCCTACAGGAAAAAAGCTCAAAGTTCTTGGCCTGATCTACAAGAACCTGGGAATTAGGACCCAATGCATCTGTCCTGCCATCTCCCTAGACCTATGTCGTCATGCAGATAGTCCCATTTTGACTTCCTGTACATCTAGATAAGATCTGCATAGTGGAGCAATTTCTTAAGCACATTGCTACATTAGAGAAGCTGTATTTAATATTAAAACTATTTGGAAGAATCAATATTCAATAAACATTTCAGAATAGTTGAATGTTAGAAGCCATGGTAAAATGGGCATGTTCCAGATCTTCTAATGTCACAAAGCCAATAACCTGATGCATAGCTTTCCAGAAGGATAATGCTTACATTCTGATACCTGTATCAGAATTTATTCAAGCCCTGGTATGATACCTGGAGCTAGATTCTTCTTTTACATTCAAGAGAGTACATCATTGGTTAAGCCAGAATTGAACTTAAATTTTTTTTAAGAACACTAAAGTACCTTTAAACTTATTGCTATTACTAACAAATTTTTCTGACACATTCCAAATCAAACCATATCATATCAGTATTTCTCACACAGTTTGAGAACCATTGAATTAAAATATTCACCTAAAATTGTTTTGAGGAAGATGTTTTTCTCTGTGGTAAATAGAAATCAATGTTAAATCTTTGGTGGAGGATTCCTAGTAGATGGAACATCATGATAACCCCTTGAAATTTCTTTACCACACTGTATTTTTTGTTCTCTTGGCCACTGATCTGTCTGTTCCATGGTGTTCCATGGCCATATTGCTAGTAGGGCTGAGGGAATGTGAATAGAAATTTGTGAAATATCTGATGCGGTCAGGGGGAAGCCTACACCACACAGACCTGGATCTTCACCTGAAACTAATAGCAGTTGATACTATTGTAGGAAGACTGTACCACCCAAACCTAGGGGGACCCACTGACTGATTGGTTCATTCATTCTTTCTCTTATTTGTGAAAAAAAAATAGTTGTTGAGAACCTACCCTTTTAAAGAGGTACCATCTGTATAGTAATTCTCTTGCATTCTCTTTTCCTCAAGTATGTAGTGGTTTAGAGCACTTGCTTAAGCTTCTCTGTTTCAAATTATTTGCTCAAGCCATATATTTTTAACATTTTATTCTTTATTTAATGGTAACCTTATTGATAAAATAGCAGTACTAAGGCCTCTAGTTAGTAATTAACATAACACATTGGAAGGATCTTGCTTGATGCCAATCTTTTATTTGTTCTCAACCTGGAACAGTCATAACAGATCACTTAAGCAAGATGTCTTATTTCCTATCTGCCTTGTGTTTCAGGTAACTCAGTGAATTCCCAGAAGATATTTATAAACTATCTGAATAAAACTGCCATTTTTCTAGGAGCACCTGGCTGTCTCAGTACAGCATGTGACTCTCAATCTTGGGGTTTTGAATTCAAGCCCCATGTTGGGCATGGAGCCTACTTAAAAAAATTGCCATTTTTTTATCTTTAGTACACAAAGGTCCTGGCTTAATGTATGAGCTACTGAAGTAGGTCCTGATACATACTGACATTCTAAACTTAAATTTTCTTATTTATTTTTTTGAAATCTGTCTAGTTTTCTACTTAGCTATCACATGACATTTATTTGTCCCACATTTAAAAATACGATGAGAAAAAAAACTTTACAATTTGGAAAATTGATTTATCATAATTAATAATAATTATCTGTGGCTTATTTCCAGTTTTTATTTCTTTATTATGCTTGGTGAAAGACTGACATGGTGACTGCAGACTCAAAAAGTTAAAAATATCTCAAAATACCTTATTTATCTAACATAGCCTTGTTATTAGGAGTTATCTGATTAGCCTGCAGCATAAAATTAATTCGATTCCAGGAGAGCCTCACTTGAAGCCTGGTCTCCCAATACCATGCACTTTCTCACCAGCCCATATGAAAAGCCCAGCGTTTGGACATCCCAGCAGACTTGGATATATTTTCCCTATAACCTGTCACTTCCCAAGAAGAATAGAGCATAATTGATACTTAGCATGTGAATTAATAGTTCACCCAAAACCTGAGTATCATGAACGTTCTTAAAAGCATAATTTAAGGAAAAATAGTGATACAGAAATTAATGATATTTATAACAATTACAAGAAACACGTTTTTAAAATTAAGTGTTTTTATCTATATGATTTGGACGTTGTAATTGAACATTATTGCAGAAAAGCTATATAGTCATAACGCATTAGGAAATGCACAGTAGGGTTGTCTTTACAATGGTCTTTTCAAAAATGCCTTTCCTGCACTCCTGTAGGCTCTCTTTCGGACAGTAGCAATGATGGTGCCTGACTATGCCATGATTGCTGAAATAGTCTTGTACTCCTGTGGGTTTGTCACAGCTCGGCCACTGTCTGTAAAAATCGTGGCTACCTACCGCTTGTGTTCAGAGCAATTGTCCTCGCAACATCACTATGACTATGGCATGAGAGCCGTGAAGTCCGTGCTCACCGCTGCTGGGAATCTGAAGGTAGAGAACTCAAGTGATTTCTTACTCATGAATTTTCTGTTCATAAATCTCAGGACCCTGTGTCTTCACAGAGTTCCAGTAACTGGTTGGTTTCATCAACTGAAAAAAATCCAGCTATTGTACTAAAAAAATAGTTGATCATTTGCACATGTGAAAAAGGAAATTTTATGATTTGTAAAAACTTAGACGTAATTCTTACTGAGTTCTGTTCTGTAATTTTAAATGTATGAAAATAAGTACTACCAAGGAATGAAATTTCTTGCTGCTGAGAAATATTTTGAAGGCTTTCAGTCTATATGAATATGTACAGCTTTAAAGGAAATAATGTATAATTAATAAATATATACAAATGTGCCAAAACATTATCAATTAATATAATTATATAATTACAGCCTATTGTAGACTAGCAGTTATAGACTTGCAATATAATGTTTGTATTTTAAAATGGTATAAATCATAACTATATAGATGGAAAAATCCATATATTTTAAGACTTGTGTAACTTTTCATTGAAAGTATTTTGTGGAGGCGTGAACTAAAACTGTGCATTAGTTCTTTATGAAACAAAGCAAGGTAGGCTATACCTAATAGCAAAATGCAAAATGTGACCTTGGAGTTTATAAAATTTTCATGTTCATGTTTTGTCGAAGATAAAGATTTTAAAATATATTCTACATGATTAAGAACCATGGCATGCATTTTTATCTTCTGTAATAAATGTTACTGAGAATGCTGATATATAATGGTAATATTCTATTTCACATTAGCCTAGAATAACTGCACACCATTGTTTTTTGCAATAAACAAATGCAACTAGAAGTAACAATTTGTATTAACCTGGCATTGTCAGGATTACACTGTGGTCAGATAATGGGAAAGATAATGCATTGTCTAGTGTATGTTATCACTGACATCTTGACTATGGAATTGAGCTATTAAAGTTACATAGCAAATGAATCCTGCAAATGAATCCTTTCATGCTTTGTCAAAAGCTAATTTAGAATTGTTGAAAGTGTTGGCTTGAATATTTTGAAGTTTGTTTTTATTATATCAAGAAACAATTTAAACACTTGCTTTAAAATAATAGCTTCTCAAATAACAAAATAGACTTTTGACACCTCACAATTTAGGTGTGGTTAGACTGATCCAAAGACAAAGTCCATATGAATAGGATTAGCTTTGGCATTGGGTGCTCTGAACTTGACTGCTGGGCATCACTGACTTTGTAAGAGTAAAGCCAGTTAAGTTGGAACATGGAATTTATTAGGCAGAAAGATTCTAAAGGAAAGGAAGAGGGTTCTGGAAAATTAAATGCATGATAATAGGAGAAACTTTGGAGTGAGATGTTGAATAAAGTACTGAAGTTGGGAGAAATAATTTGGAGTTCATATTTTTGTGAACTCTGCAAACCTTATTATGGGCCTGACAACAGGTTCAGAGTTCAACCAGGTTTTTAGTAAACTTTGAGATTACCACAAGTGTTTGGGAATTTTTTCAACCTCTAAAATTATTAACAATCCAATTAAATGAAAAGAAATGAGAACAGTTTTATGTGGGTTTAAATTGTCTTTGGGGCCTGTGTGTGTATGCATGCGCGCGCGTGCCTGTGTGTGAAGATGTAGGGGGTGCACTTAGCGGATGGAGATTTCATCATGAGTGTATTTTCTTTTAGCTGAAATATCCAAATGAAAATGAAGAAATTTTGCTGCTTAGATCTATTATTGATGTAAATCTGCCAAAATTTTTGTCCCATGATTTACCACTCTTTGAGGTGAGGATATTTATTATTTTGGTGTATCAGAATTTTTATAATAATGTATTTATCAAATGTCCAAGTTTGCAATTCCCTATGAGAAACTACTACAGCAAATAATGATATGGCGCAGAGAAACATAGATCATTCCATGTTGAACTTGAAGTGTGTTTAGCTCTGTTGCTTCAGATGACTTTCGAGAAGTTGGGATTTTTAAATAGTACTTTTTGTTTAACTATGCAATGTAAATAAGCACACAAAAGTTATGAAATATGTTTGCTGATAAATTGCACTAGAATGTAGGCTCCATGAAGGAAAATAATGGGTCTAACACACCACTGAATCCTTTGCACAGAAAAGGTACGTGGCAAATGTTTGTTAAATTAATAATGGAAGAAATTTTTTTTAAAAAGCTTAATTTCTTGGGATGCCTGGGTGGCTCAGTTAGTTAAGCGTCTGCCTTTTGGCTCAGGTCATGATCCCGGGGTCCTGGGATCGAGTCCTGCATTGGGCTCCTTGCTCAGTGGGGAGCCTGCTTCTCCCTCTGCTTGCAGCTCCCTCTGCTTGTGCTCTCTTTCTCTGACAAATAAATAAAATCTTTTAAAAAAAATAATAAAAAGCTTAATTTCTTTAAAAGAGTATAATGGCTTTTATGAAATTGATGTTTTTCAGGATGATTTAAAGGAAGAACTAAGTTTAATTATCTAGTTATATTTAAGATTATACTATTATTAATTGAGAAGGAGTATTAGAATAATGGTTAAGGTTTTCATATTATCATTTGATGTCATTCTTTTCCTTTTCTCTGTCTCAGTTAGAAGGAATTGGGGAGGCCATGGGCTCCCAGCAAGTGTTAGATGTTGCACTAATATGTGCTGCCTTAAAGTACAGGCAGTTAGCTTCCAGTGTGTAAGGACTGAAGTGGTATGACGTTATGGGGACGGGGAGGGGTGACACTGCCACTGTGGTGTGGCCCATTGTCATCTATTCTCCATAGTAACCATGTTTCATCATTCCAAAGGATCTTTCCATAGTACTTAGAGCTGGCAGCATAAATATAGAGTGACACTATGAGGAATAGGTTCAAATTTTCTTCCTAATGTTTTTTCCTCAGTTTCTTTGGTACTAGGATACTGTACAAATTTTTCAAGAGTAAAGACTCTATTCTTATAAAGTGGAAATATACCTCACCAGATATGTTCTCAAGCAGTTGTGTATTCATCCAGTGAACACTTATTGAGCAATATCTCAAAAATGGAGCATAACTGTCACTTCAGATTAGGACAATTCCTTGTTGTGAGACTGTCCCCTACACTGTAGAGCATTAGGCATCCTTGCCCCCCACCCTCACCCCAGTGTTGATAGATCTCTTCTGTTGTGACAACCAGACAATTCCACATATTTTTGACTCTCTACCAGGCAGGAGAGTCAGGGGAACTGGTCTTGGTTGAGAACCACTGGATACCAAAGATGTTCTCGAGTGGTCCCTTCATTCAAGGTCAACCAAAAACAATTTGAACAATCTGAGAAGATATGTTTGTTTATTTACCAAATACTATGCACTTACTATGTATCAGACACTCTTCTAAGAGCTTTGCAAATAGTAACTTATTTAACGCTCACAATGACCCAGTAGGTCAGGTGCTATCATTATCCCTGTTTTACAGATCATTTAACTGAGGCAAAGGTAATTAGCTTTGATTTATGGCTAGTACATGAGCGAGTGGGGATTTCAACCATGTAGTCAGGCTGCAGAGTGCTCTTAACCACTGAGCTGCACTGCATTTTCCTCCTCTTTATCTCACAGAAACATTGCTTTGATAAACTAAGATCAGTTTCTCCATAACAGCATTTGAAGGATTAAATATAGGGGCAATTAAACTCAGAATTCATCAATTCTCAAGTATAGGTCAAATGTGTGCTTTCACATGAAGCACTTCTGAATTTTTACTTTGACCTTCAGAGTGAAAATAAGTCCTATTTCTTACATAGGTTTGCTATAATACTTATAAAATAGCCTTAACAGTTTATAAAGGTATGTTTCTTAGAACTTGCAATCAACTTTATATATTCCTATACACTAAGTATGGAATCCTAATTCTTTCCAATCATACATCATATGATTTTATCAGTTTCCTAAAGCTGCCATAGCAAAGTACCACAACTTGGTGGCTTAAGACAATAGAAAGGTATTCTCTCAAAGTTCTAGAGGGAAGACATCTGAAATCAAGGCTCTAGGAAAGACTCCTTTGCCTCTTCTTAGCTTCTGGTGGCTATTGGCAATCCTCGACATTTCCTGGTGTGGGTTGGCATCACTCTGATCTCTACCTCCATCATTACATGGCCTTTCCTGGGTGTATCTATGTTTGAATCTTCTTCTCCTTTCTGTTATGAAGACACCAGTCATTGGATTTAAGGCCCAGGATAACGTCATCGTAATTTATCTAATTATATCTGCAACGATCCTATTTCCAAATGAGGTTACATTTTGAGGCTTTCTGTGGGCATGAATCTTTGAGGGACACAAAGCTGATTAAAATCCTGGCCACCACAATGATTAAAATACCTTTGAACTAATTTTTGTATGTGATACTGAGGTATGGATTAAGGTTCATTGTTTTGACAAATCCAGGCATTCTATCTTTTTATCTTTTCTCTACCAAATTGTTTTTGTGCCTTTGTTGAGAATGAGTTGTTCAAATGTGTGTGGGTCACTTTCTGGGCTCGCCATTCTGTTCCATTGGTATATTTGTCTATTGTTATACAATATGAAGCTGTCTTTATAATAAGCCTTAAAATAAGGTCATATTTGTCTAACTTTTTAACTTAAAAGTATTGTAAAATTGTAAAAATTTCTAGAAGAAAACGGGAGAAATCTCTTTTGACTTTGGCTTAGGCAAAAATTTCTTAAACACAGCATCAAAAGCACAATGCATAAAACAATAAATTGATAAAGTAGACTCATCAAAACTTAAAATGTTCACTCTTTGAGAGACATTGGTAAGAGGATGAAAGACAAGTTGCAGACTAGGAAAAAATATCTGCAAATTAGATATATGATGAAGGACTTGTATACAGAATATTTAAAGAACAGTTAAAACTTACCATTAAGAAAATAAACCAATTAAAAATAGGCAAAAGATTTGAAAAGGCACTTCACTAAGAACATATACATAAAGCAAATAAGCACATGCAAAAACATTAGTCATCAGGAAATGCACATTGAAGCCACAGTAAGATACTGTGACATACCTATTAGTGTGGATAAAATTAAAAAGACTGACCATACCAAATATTAAAAGTGTTATACCCTGCTGGAATGAATGTACAATAATACAACCACTTTGGAAAGCAGATAATTTCTTAAAATATTAAACACATAACCACCATATTATCCAGGTTTTCCACTCTTCAGTATTCAACCAAGAGAAATGAAAGCATTTGTCCATACAAAGAGTTGTGTATAAGTGTTCATAGCAGTTTTGTTTGCAATAGCTCCAAACTGGAAACAATGAAAGTATCCATCGACAGGGGAATGGATTTAAATGTAATACTTGTATGCATTGAACTATTAATACATGATGTCACATATGGGAATCTCCAAATCTTTATGCTAAGTAAAAAGAAGTCAGAAAAAAAGTAGTACCCATAATGTGTAACTTCATCTATATTAAATTCTAGACAATGCAAATAAAAATAGTAACAGAAAACAAATTAGTGGTTTCCTGGTGAAGGAGGTGGGAGGTGGCAAAGAGAGTAGAGAAGGAGGATTACAAAAGTTCACAAGGTGACTTCTGGGAGTGATAGGTTGATTATCTTGATTGAGTTAATGACTCCACTTATTGAATTTGTAACACTATATAGTTCATTGTATGTTAGTCATACCTCTATAAAGCTGTTAAAAATACTGTTGAACTATTTAATGGCTCTATTTACATCATTATTAAATATGAGGATGGGAGGACTTTCATCACGTTTATGTGTATGTATGTGTGTTTGTGGCGTGTGTGTGCATGTATATGTGTATGTGTGTGTGTGTATGTGTGTGTGGAGAGAGAGAGAGAGAGGCTATCAGATATGTAATATAAATCCCCAAATCATCTATCATCAGGGAATCACTTCAGATTTGTTTCCTGGTGTGAAATTACCAAAACCAGATTATAATGATTTGCTAGCAGCTATCAAAGACAATTGTGAATCCATGAATTTGCAAATGACCAGATTCTTTTCTGAGAAGATACTTCAAATATATGAAATGATGATTGTGCGTCATGGTTTTATGATTGTTGGGGAACCGTTTGGAGGAAAAACCAGTGCATACCGTGTCTTAGCTGGAGCACTAAATGACATATGTGAAAAGGTGAGTTAATTAATGCATTGATTTATTCATAATCAGCTTTGTGCAAGATAGAATGTATAGTGATTTTAAAAGACACTTCAATGTAGCAACTTAAAATCATGGAAAAAAATGAGTCAAAAGGAAAATACTACTAGAAAGGTAACATGAAGCAATTATGAAGTTTAGCGTATGAAGGATCTATCATAGGTTTGCTGGTCAACCTTTTACTTCTTTTCAAAATTTTATTTATGAAGGTAACACATGTTGTAGAAAAAATCTGAAAACATAAGAAGACTGAAAGCTTTCTTTTCATACTTTCAAGAGAGTATTTTTCATGTTCTGGGTGATTAGATTAATAATGTAAACTTCTGTGATTGGAAGCTTGTGGTATTGGAGTGAAAGTGTGTTTTGTGTTATATAACACATGTGCACACAAATGTAATAAATGCTTGTATTACTCACAATTCCCATCTTACACATCACAGTTTGGTCTACTTTGACATGCTAAAGGAATGAGGCTATTTTTAATTCTCCAACTAATACTGCACTTCTGTCTACTTTTTGTATTTTGAATAGTTTTTGCTTCACATATTTCATTGTTTGTAGCCAAATGGGATTTGTGATCATGATATCTTGATTGTGGAGTCTCACTGGCCTTGCTGCATTTTGGGGACAAAAATCTTGCTTTAGTGGCAACAACTTCCTCTGACTAAGAGGGTGAAGCTTTCCCATACTTCTCAATGTAGGATGATGTGTTGTTATCCCTTTGGTGGGCACAGAGAAGAACGTGAAGACCTTGAGCTTGTTTTATTGTTTAGTGTTGTTATTCCACATCTTTTCTTGAGTTCGGTAGTTTGTGTCCCAAGCCCTGGGGGTGGTGGTCAGAAGGCAGTGTTGGGAAGAGTTTTACTTGTTATGATCTATATCTATATCTATATCTATATCTATCTATCTATCTATCTATCTATCTATCTATCTATCTATCTATCATCTCTACCAGACATTCTCCGCGAGAAAATTAAAAGATCTAAATACACGGGACTATGTTCCATTCTCACTGAACTGAAAAGTTAATATTCCTAAGTTGTCAATTTTGACCACAACCTTGAAATCTGATGTGGGAATTATACAAAATTATATAAAAGATGTTAT